CCTCCTGGGCGGCCATCCCCATCTCTCCCTCTGTGCTGTGGTGAGACAGAGTGATTTTTCTATGTAATTTCATTGTTAGCAAGACAGAGAGGAAAGACCCTGGGGTGCTTGTGCTCTTTTGTGCTGACATCCCCTGGGGCAGGGGCTGGGCAAGACCAGGCTCAGCCACAGCCTGGAGCTCACTGCCTGGGCAAGGGGGAAATGGGGATGGATGGATCCATACCAGACATTCCCATGGCAATGATGATGAAGATCCTCTGCCTTATGTGGGTCATGGCTGGAGGAGGGCAGGAGCAGAAGCCTTGTAAGCCCTGTGCACCATCTGCCAGGGCCCTTGGTTGCACTTTATCATGCAGCAGGGTTTGTCTTTCAGGAACTGGGGAGCACAGCTACTGGAGTTTGTGCTTTTAATAACCCCAGCTCCTGTTCTCACCTTTTTTCCCACTCATTGCCTGCAGCCATGCTTGCTCAGCAGACACCTTAGAGCCCGGGGCGCAGGAAGCAGTACCGTATGCCACTGTCTTGTGCCTAGGTGGAAATGAAGCACATCTTTCTGCCATGGAAACCTCATTTATGAGCATGTACATAGCTTAAAGAAAAAAAAGAAAGAAGTGAGTTACAGCCTATTTCTGAATGCTGAAAAAGGGCAAGGCGCTAGTCTAGCACAGAGATACCCTTCAGCGCAGCGTTTAGTATCTGGGGACATCCTCCCTTGCCTTTTCCTGTCCCCGTAGCCGTGCCCGGCTTGGTGCCAGGCAGTCCTGCCCAAAGGCAGGGTGCAGAGCATCCCCTCCTCGCCGGTGTGGTTCGCACCCTGCCAGGCAGGGCTGTGTCCTGGTGGATGCTCGTGGCTCACCTCCTCCCCGCCGCCTTCGCTTGCCTCATGGTGTTGATGGGAGATGCTGCACTGTCTGCTCCTATTTTATGTGCTGCCACAGCTTGTCAATGTGCTGTTTGGTGCATCAACAAATCGACACTACACAAACAGAGAGCTAACAGGGAATGATTTATCCAGGACACCACGTCTGTGTGTCCAGCAAGGCAAGATGTCTTGGAAACAGAAATCAGTATTTACCAAAGACTCATCAGAAAAGCTGGTGTTTTGTGACACAGCTGAATGGCACTTGCATCTTGGTGTTTCTGGGTATTGCTCATTTAATCACAGGATGCTTTCCTTTTAATAAGTCATTGCTGTTACTAGCAAGAGAATTAGCAGACTCTTCTTTTAATGGGGAAGCTGAGGCAGATGTGCTGTAATTGGGGTGGTGGGAATCAGGGTGCTGCAAAGAAACCCCAGGCTCTGCATCCCCACAGGATGCCCTTTCCAGTGTGGGTCCTGGAGGACTTTGTTTTCCAAGTAAGTCAAGGGAAGGATGCGACCTGCTCTGCCTGCCCCTCAGAGGGGAAAGCTGCTCTGTTCCTCTGCACTCAGCAAGGAACCACGGAGAGGGTTTTGTGCCAGAAATCACTGACTCTCCCAGGTACATTATGTCTACAGCTGGTCAGTATTGTTTTGATTAGGTGATTATTGTCAGAAAAAGGCAGTTTATCAAACTTGGAGCTTGGGAGGGGAGCTGTTTCAGTGAACTGTCTTTAAAAAGGAATAATTTATTGAAATAAGTTGTCTGAGGTATTTGAAATGTCCATTGGAACAGCTGGGGAACAAAAAGTTCCATGTTCTTGTCAAGCTGACTTTTTTAAATGTTTTTTAATTTCAGTTGATTTATGATAGAGAGCAAATGGGTAAGGGAATAGGGACTGAAACAGAGGAGAGCTTTCAAAGTTTTGGGTACAAAGTGTTCCACTTCGCCAGTTGGGAGATGCTGCATTCCTGTTTGGGATGGGATGACAATTTCCATCCCCATGGGAGAGGAAAGCCACTTTCCTGCTGTATTGTAATGATGCCTAAGGAAAGATGTCTTGGACATGTTTGTGATTTCTCTAGAGCAGAAGCATCTTATAAAGGGTCTTATTATCTATGCACATCTATGTCTGCATGGAATTCTGAGCTGGCATTCTCAGAAGTGTTTGAATCCCCACTGCCTGGCTGTGATTCCTTTGGGCAGGATCATGATCTCAGCCCACCTCTGGTTTTACCTGTAGTTCCCATTGGTGCTCATGGCAGGGGTCCCATGGACTGGCTGCAGTGGTGTGTCCCTTGAGAGGACATGGAGCTGTTGCAGAGGACTCATGAGCTTCCCTTGGGGGACCCCCTGAGAGGGAGCAAGAGGCCTGGGGGAAGGAAGAGTGCTCCACAGCAAAAATCCTGTGAGGAATGCTCATCGCCCTGTCTGAACTGTTTGGGGATGTGTTGCTTCCCAAAGCAAAATAGCTCCTCGATTTCAGGCGGGTCTGGTTGTGTCGTGCTTCCAGCAGATGCTCGCCTCGCCCTCCCCCAGCTCTGGTTCAGGAGATCACACTCTTCATTTTTATTGTGGGCATCCGATGTCTCGGATATTAAAAACTGTTTCCTGTGAGGGAAGTGGAGAAGCGCGTGCGGAGGAAGAGTGGGGGGCCAGGCGGCTTTTTTGGGATGAAGCAGGGGGAGATGGATGGATCTGGTGCTGCTGTGGGTGGCGAGCATCACCACCCATAGCACCAACACCCATAGCCCTTCTGTGCCAGTGCCAGGAGTATTTGGAGCTCTTGTGGGCTGAAAGGGATGTTTCATGGGCTGGTCATGGACCATCCAGCACATGCTGGGCATCCTGGGGCAGTTGCAGCATAAATGCTGCTTCCCCTGGTGCTCCCCACATTACCCAGCTGTGTCCTGCCAGTGCCTTCCATCCGGATTTATACATCCCAATAACATCTTCTACCAGAAGGTGTTCACAAAGTGCAAAGTTTCATTAATCCATGCTAATTACACACTATCCCTGCAGGGGTTAGTTGGGTTTTCCATGTCAGCCCTCATGGGGAAAGGATGCCACAGCCTGTGGGAGATGCTGGATGCCATTCATGCATCGAGGGATTTAACCAGGCTATGCCTTTGGGGACAGTTAGATTTGGCAGCACGGTCACAGCGGGAGAACAGAGGGTGGAAATCAGCCTTTAGGGCCCAGGTTAGTGGTGATGATGGATGAGAAGGAAAGCTTCCAGGAACATGTTTCCTTTCCAGCAAGATTGCTGCAGTAATGATAACAGCACAGCCTGCCTCAGTGCTGGGGCTCTCATGAATGAGTTGGCATTTTTTTGTGACTGATGTAGACTTTCAGCTATTTGAAATTGTCCTGAAGTGCAGCCTGACATAAGTTCTCGGCCTATTTATTACTTTGTGTCCGAGTGTTCCCATAGGTATATGATTTTTAAACCAGAGCTGAATTTAATATCGGAAGCTGGAGCATTTGTATCTTAGCTGTAGATCAGTGAGGAGGTGATTTGGGCTGTATGTTGGGGGTGTTTGTCAAACTCCAGCCAAGGGATCCATTCATCAACGAGGACATTTGAGCTGTAGAAAGTGTTCAACACCACCCTTTTATTTAATAACTTTTCAATGCTGCTGTTTCCCCCTTTGCTATCCTCTGTCATCACAAGCTCCCACCAGCATCAATGCAAGGGATTACAGTACCATCAACCAGCACACTGGGTTGGAAGAGCTTGAGCTACACAGGCTTGGCCAGCTGTACCTGGAGACTTCAACCCTGAGAAGGAAAGGGTTGAAAGCCTACATGGATTTGTCTGGTTATTTGCCAGTATATACCAGTGAAGCCCTTGGTCACTGTAGTTTCCTGGGGCTCTGAAGCACAGTTGATCAAGCATTGACCTTACCTCTGAGCCATCTCCTGTTGGGCTGGGTCGCCTCATGCCAAACCCAACCACTTGTGCCATGGCATGGCAGCTCCTGATTGAAGCTGTACGAAGTTTTTGGCCAGCCACCAAGGTGTTTCATGTGAGTGGTGGGAGCAGTCAACGGCACGTGTTGTACATTGGCTTCTGCTCATGGTGTAGCTGCTGTGACTCAACACATCTGGCCATAACCCACCACAGCGTTCAGGCACCTAAAGCTGCGTGTGGTTACGTGTGGGGATTTAGAAGAGTATCTGGGTGAGCTAAGTGTCAAACTACCCCTACGAGGAATCAAGCACCTACTGTGTCTAAGGTGCTTTGTGACCTGTGCCAGCCCAATGCCCTGCGGGGCACCTCAGTGTCCCCGACATGACCCCACAGATGGCTCCTGATGTCAATGAAGCCTTTAAACAGATACATGGCAATTGCGGCTGCATGTTGGGGTTAGATGGGGAAAAAGGATCTGGTGCTGCAGATTCTGTTTGTGCCTTTGCCACTGACTTGCCAGATCCTAAACAGATTACACCACCGTGTTTTGTCTTCTGCCATATGTTTTCCAATAATGCCCACCCACCCGTAGGGGAAAGCACTGGGTGTCTGCGGGCATTGTTAGGAACACTCTGAAACGTGCTAGAAAAACATGAAAGGTATTAATTTAGGTCTAACATTACCAGAAGTCTGTTTGTTAAGGGGTTTTCATACCTCTGTTTTTAGATTGCCAGGCTGGAATGCCAAGACTGGGCCCTCCTTCAGTAGCAGGAGTCTCCTGATAATGTTTTTTAATTTGAGCCATTCCAGTTATACCACCTCCAATCTCTGCTTTTGAAAAATCTTAGCTTGCATCTTTGGATGAGATACTAAACCAAAATTCAGGCCTTAAAAGTGTATTTATGTGAGAAAACATCCCTCCTGCATAAAGGGAATTGATTTGGAGGATGTGAAAGTGTTAAGACTTGGTACATGCCACTTCTGTGTAAGCCTCCTGATGTGTACTAATGCTGTGATTGAAGTGAAGTCCATGTCTGGATTTACCTGCTCAATTTACAACGGGTGTATAAGCATTATAGTATTTTTCTTCTCTCTCCTGGGCTTGGAGTGAACTATTAGCATCGGCATCCCTACACTTGCGGTACTGGGGCTTGTATTTCCAGGTGTAATTTTGGATATGGAGCTATGCTCCTTACTGTCTCCCTTTCCTCTCCTTCTTTCCCCAGCCAGAGGAGCTTACCAACGCCCTGGAGATCAGCAACATAGTCTTCACAAGCCTCTTTGCCCTGGAGATGCTATTGAAAGTCCTTGTTTATGGCCCTTTTGGCTACATTAAGAATCCATACAACATCTTTGATGGGATCATCGTGGTGATTAGGTACAAACATAGAGCTTTCTTTATGTGTGTTTCCCCTCATTTGACTGTTTAATTAAACAGAAAGTAATGGAGAGTAGGCATAAACACCTTCTCTTGACATTTTATACTTCTCTGCTGTAAATTAATGCCCTTAGACACAATTGCTAATACATATCTTGGGGTTATTTTAGAGTCATTTTAGAGAGGCTCAAGCAGAAAGCTATCAGTCCCAATGTCCTGATGGCATCCAAATGGTGCAACCAGCGTCCGATTAAGCAGCTCTCTGTTTTTTTGGCTTGTGCAAAGGCTGTAATTGCCCCTGCAGCTGCAGCCACTGATTTGCAGGAGTGTTTTTAACACTCTAGTGGGGCTCTGCTCTTTGCAAGCCTGGATGGAGTCCAGTTTACCGGGGGCATTGGCAAGTGTGTCTCTGCCTGTTTGCCATCCCTTTTCTCTCTGAATTTCACCCTCCCTCTGCTTCCTCTCCTATGTGGTTGTCTTCTCATCCTTCGGTGACCTTTTCTTCCTCCTTAGTGTGTGGGAGATCGTGGGCCAGCAAGGCGGGGGGCTCTCAGTCCTGCGGACCTTTCGGCTTATGCGAGTTTTGAAGCTGGTCCGCTTCATGCCAGCCCTCCAGCGCCAGCTCGTAGTCCTCATGAAGACCATGGACAACGTGGCCACCTTCTGCATGTTGCTGATGCTCTTCATCTTCATCTTTAGGTGAGTGCTTCTGATTCCCCATCCTGAGGTTGCTCTGGGTTTTCATGTAGGACCTTGTGGCAAGGTGAGGAGATGTAAGAGTCAATAGCAGGACATGGCTGAGCTGAACGGTCCCAGGAACAGCATCGCTGGCCAGTGCTGGTGGTGGCTTGCTGCCCTGCCTGAATTCTCCTAACTCTGGCCAAATGAGACATGTGTCTTTGCAAGATGATTTACAAGGGAAGTCTTTCAGCTGGATAATTCCTTGACACCACCCCAAGACAGCAGTCCCATTACTTACAGCCTAGCAGAAAGCCTGGTGCTAAAAATATTGCCAAGAAGAGGGTGATGTTCCTAGAATAAAGTCAGCCCTGGTGGTGCTTGTGTTCTTGCATGTCCTCTTTAAGAAGTGGAAGTGTTAGAAATAGGCTTGGCATAACCCTGAGTTTTTGGATTTTGGGTTAGATTTTGAGAAGAACTTGTCTCCTTGTCACAGCCAGCTCTGGTGTTCCAGCAATTCAGTCCCTTCCATGGAATTATGTCCCATCTCCCTGTGAGACACTTTACTCCAAACCCACCATTTTCAGCTGTGGTGCTCAGTAGAGCTGTGAATAAATTGATTATTCAGGTTACTGGATGAGAACAGGGGAAAGCAAATTATCCTTTAAGTATCAGTCTAAAATGAAAAGCATTCTCTTTTCTTGTCAAAATTGAGAAAGCTGTTTCAGGTCCCCAGATATGTCTCATTCAGGCATTTCACAGAAACTCTTTTTTGTCTTCCTAATTCAATTGAAGCATATTTTTGCTGAAAATGTGTCATTGCAAAACAGAAAGTCAAAACATTTTGTTTAGGGAAATGTTGAAAGACAATGTTTTGACTTAAAAGGAAAAACAAAGCAGAATTAAAAGGAGTGGGCATGCTTTTCGGTCGAAACTCAGAGGTCCTTCCCCATTCCAATTAACAAATTCACAACTGGTTTGCGTGATCTTGAGGTGCGTTTTTCAGTGAACAGATGATTCCTCTTTAACAGAAAATAAAAGGAATCGCCCAAGTGGAATTAGGAGACGGTCAGCCCTGTTGTGTGGTTACTGGTTTGTACTGTGGTCCTCTTGCTGAGCCCCTGCTTTTCTTCCCATGCAGCATCCTGGGGATGCACCTCTTTGGCTGTAAGTTCGCTTCAGAGAGAGATGGGGACACGCTGCCTGACAGGAAGAACTTTGACTCCTTGCTTTGGGCCATCGTCACCGTTTTCCAGGTACAGAATGGAAAATTACAGAATCAGCCAGGTTGGAAAAGACCTTTAAGATCATCAAGTCCAACCTTTACCTCTGGACTTCCACAGCTTGTGTTTTCTGGGGGGCTGCAAGGGCTGGGGTTGTTTTCCAAAGCACCTAACAGAGCTTAGTGAAGCTCCCTGCCATGGAGGGGAGAGGACGCAAAACCAAAAGTGCAGGAACATGGGGGATTTCAGATTGTTTTCCAGGATAAATTGTAGAGCTGCTGAGGAGGGGCTGCTGAGGCAGGAGGCACCTTTATTTGCAGGGTATGGGCTGGGTGGGTGAAAGTAAGTTCAGAAGGTGGAGAGGGAGAGGATGAGATCAAGACCACTTGCAGTGATGTTTTGACAAAGGACAGAACCTGGTTTCAGCCCATAATTGATATAGGCAGTTTGCTCAGGTACCCAGCTGGGCTCAGAGGAAACAGCATACAATCCTCCAGCATCTCCATTTTCCTCATATCCATCCTCTGCAGATTTTGACCCAGGAAGACTGGAACAAGGTTCTTTACAATGGAATGGCTTCAACCTCCTCCTGGGCTGCTCTCTACTTCATTGCTCTCATGACGTTTGGGAATTATGTTCTCTTTAACCTGCTGGTGGCCATCCTGGTAGAGGGTTTCCAAACAGAGGTAATGTCCTCAAACTCCTGCCTTTGCTTTCTTCTAAAGTTTCAGGTCCTCCAGACCCTGGAATTTGATTTCTGAGATGGACAGCAATGTGTTCACGAGAGTGGTACATGAAAAAAGTGGGGGGAAGTACTAAGTCTTCTTTCTATTCTTTTTTTCCTTCTTAGCCACGGTGCAGTTTAACACAGCAAGCCCTTTACACGAAGGGCTTAAATGAAAAGCATTGTTAGCATTGATGCAGGAGTGGGAATTCAGCAGTGAGTCAGGCACTGCGGATGGGATGGCTGCTATGACAGTGTCTTTGAAACAGTTCTCACTGCGTTTGTCAGCCAGATTAAAAGCCCCTCCTGAAAACTTACGCAGACTGGTAAGAGATTAGTGACATGATTATCTTTTTTTGATGGTATGTGTTCATGGAGCTCTTCCTGTTCCCAGCCCTGCAACGCTCTGCACATTTTAAAGTACATGATTTCAGGTCTCTGCCATCTGCTTCATTGGGCTGCAAACTTCCATGAGACATCCCAGATTGCTGGAGGCTGTCATGGAAGGGCAGGGGGGCACTTTGGTTTGTACCTAACCTATTTTTTATCCTACTGCCTTCCCAACTGCCCAACTCGGAGCAAGTGAGCACGTCCTCATGGTGGGGGACCTGCGATGCCCACCCGCTCTCTGCAAAGATTGACTGTCTATGAACATCAGTAAGGGGAGGGGACTTTAACACCCTGCCCAGGGTGCTGGAGAGGTAAATCTAATCTGAAAGTGCTCGCTGGGATCTGCTCGTACAGGCTGTGCTTTTACTTTTACTTTTTACACTGTCCCTGATTTCTATAAGCACTCCAGGGTGACTAAATATTATTTAAGATTTATGGCTTGTGTATGATAATATCCTCCCACCCTATGAACATCTCTGCACAGAACTATTTTTATTATTATTACTATTATTTTTGGAGCAGAGTTTGGAGGTAATGGAGTCGTACTGGGAGGTAGCAAGAAGAAATACTTCTTATTTCTTGTATCGTCTCTCTCCATGTTGATGCTTTTCTAATTGTTATTGTTGTAGCTGTTTCTGTCTGTAAATCCCCTCCACATTTCAGCCAAAGGGAAGATCACTTCCAGGTTCTCCCAGATAGCACAGTGTTCCCTTGCCCAAGCGAGAAGAGGTACAGAGCTCCTTGTCTGCTTGTGATGATGGCTTTGAAACCGAACCTTTGTTCAGCCTAGCAAATTGATTCTCTGAAGGCTGACAAAGCAGGAGATCACCTGCTGCACCCGCTACGTACAGAAAAGCAGCCTCTAAAAGCAGCAGCCTTTAAATGCAGCAACCCCTTTTCCAACCCCTGGCCCTCAAGGGAGGCTGACACCTCTGGTCCTTGGCTCAGCCTGGTTTTTCATGCTAGAGCATCCCATGCTCCCGCTCTGCCAGCCTGTTGTTTCCCTCGGCAGCAATTTATCCCATGCTCGCTTGCGGCCAGCTGGTGCCATGGCACATCTCCCTGTAAACTCATGCCCGGGCTTAATGCACTGCGATTTGATTCCAATAACCATGCCCTTGAGGGTTTGTTTTCCCTGGAGTCAGGGGAACTGCCTGCAGCACTCCCCAGGTTTGCTTTTGGCTGTTTTTTTGCAGCAGGGCTGCCCCATCCCTGCCCCTGCTTTCCTCTGCAGGGTTTCTGTGTAAGCTGTAAATGTGCTTGAAGTGCAGTGTAAATCAGGGAGTAACTTCAGAATCAGGGGAGCACTGAGAGAGCCTGAAGGCAGGGATGCTTGTGCCAGTACCCAGAGGTGACTGAGGGAACCAGGATCCCTCAGTCACCTCCAAAGATCAAACACTTTCTGGCCAATTCTATCCAACCAAGGCAATGTCTATGAACTTCAGTAATTCATGACTCTGATTATGGTGCAATTTTTTACCTTGGGCTTTGATTGTTTTATCTTTGGGGATTATTTTAATAGTGATCTTTCTTCCACAACCTTCTTATTCTGTGTTCTCCACAATTTCCCCATAAATTACAATGGGTTCAAGAGATCCCTTGATTCAAGCCAAGTTTCCCTCAGCAAACAGGGAGCAAACATCTGCTGGAGGTCAAGAGCCAGGTCTGGCCTTGCTGGTTTATGTTAATTCAGCTTGGCTGATGTGTAGCTTTGCAAACAGATCTCGTCCTGGTTTTTGCTAGCCAGCACACAAAGGATCCTCTCCTAAGCAGAATGAATAGAGAGATCATCTCTCGCTGTAAACAAACCCCAGCGTCTCCCTCCCGTGATTGCACTTGACCCTTCTGTGTTGGGTTGTTGGATGTTTTCTTGCATTCTCCTTCAGATTTCTGGGCTGAAATACAATCCCAGGGCTGCTGTCTTTATCTCCAGGGTCCTTGAGTGCCTTTCCTCAATCTGCAAGCACCTCGTTAATTTTAGTGCATGGCTTTGCAGCCCCAGTTGCTAGGCAGCAGATGTATATAAGCAGTTGAGAAACAAAAAGGACCTGTTCCAAACTTTAAATACGGAGCAGTATTTTTGCAGCGTTGAGTTTCTTTTTCTTCGCCTTTCTTTCTATTTGGTCACCGGCTTCTCTGTAGCGAGAGGCACACAGAGGACTTTGTGTGGTTATTTTTGACTGCGTGTTCTCTGATTTAACTGGAGCCCAGTGCTGGTGTGGGGAAGGTGAGCAGGGGACTCCATTTGATCAAGCTGCTAATTTGAGATTGCTGCCTGACCTCTCGGGTCCCTGCCCAGGGGATTTCTCTCTGAGGCAAAGAACGACTCCTCTTTGTCAGGCATAAATGGCCTTTTCTAAGGGACTTTCTAACAATACTATCTCTGAAGTGTATTCTTCCATTGGAAATCCTCCCAGCTTTGTGTCCCGTTGTCTCTGGCCATCCTCACTTGTGGATTTGTTCCTTCCCCTCCTTTGTGCCTCTTCCTTCCTTAGTACCACAGGTCCTCCAGCCCCTCCATCCTTTCCTCTGCAGAACATTGCCTGCTCTCTGGATGTAGCATACCTGGAGTATGGACTTCTTCCGGGCTTTAACAGTCCTTTCTCCAGCAGCAGGGATTTTGGATGGTGTTTTTCTTGCATCCCTTACCTTTTGCATTCCTAATGGTTCCAGTGGGATTTTCCTTGTGAAAGAAAAGTCTTTCCATGTTTTTCAATGCCTTTTCCATGTCTCTCTCTGTTGCAACTCAAGACTTTAATTTAAGTGTTTATCACTAGCAAGGCACCACTGTCCAAGCATCCAGGCCCCAAGGCTGATCGGTCTTTCTTAAACTCTTCATCCCAATCTAGAATGGGATGAGTTTTGTATCCTGTGTAGCAACCAGAGGAAAGACCCCTTGCCCTGCAGGCAAGCTGGTGGGACAACCCATGCCCTCCCGCAGTCTGTAACCTGCTGAAGCATTGGAGCTTTGGGAGAGCCGCCCCTGAGGAAGGGGAAACACAATGAGATGAAAAATGGCCTGTGCTTTCCAAGTGGGTAGGGAGGGACTGACTTCTGGGGCTATGAGGAGCTTCTGGGGCCACTTGTGTGGCAAAGCCCCGAAGGACAGGGCTGTGCCTCCTTGTCTGCTGTTCTCTACCATGTTTGACCACCACACTGATTTAAACGGGTGTCTCCACTAATGGGGCTGAGGAGGAATCTGAACTCAGAGCAGATTCCGGTGGCTTTCCTTAAATGAGGTATTTCACCTGACAGTAAGAGGACTAATGTTGTGTTAATCAAACATTCATTAAAAGCCTCCACTGCCGATTAATGAAGGCGTCATAAATAAAGATCCCATTATGCAGCTGCAGGAAAAAAAAAAAGAATTAAAAAAAAATCATGTTTTCAATAATTAGCTGGTGTTTCATTAGCACAATTATCACTTAGGAGATGAAGAAAGCTCTGTTTGAAACACTTAATTTAAAGGTAAGGCTGGTCCCTTCGAATGGCTTCACTCCATCTGAGATCTTCCAGCCCTTCCCTGTGTCGAGTGGAGCGGGTGTTCCAGCCCGGCTCTCCATCGCAGCCACATGCTGCCCCTCTCCCTTTCCCCTCTCCTTCCCTTCCTTTTCTCATGTGTTTTTTGATTCCCCATTCAATCCTACTGTTGAAACTGTGACAATTGAACCCCCCCTTCCCCTTCCTCCCCCTTTCCTCCCCCCGTTTCTCCTTCAGGAGATCTCCAAGCGAGAAGACGCGAGTGGGCAGTTAAGCTGTATTCAGCTGCCTGTCGACTCGTCGGGGGTATGTACACACAGCACATCCCACCACCCACCGTGGTTGTCTCTCTCGTGGTGCCTGGTCACATCCCGTGGTGCTGTTCTCATCGTAGTAGCTGTCATTCTTTTGGGGTTTGTTTGGGTGTTTTGGGGGTGGTTTTGGTTTCCTTTTTGTCGTCCTCATTTTCAAGTCAGCCCTGATTTCAAGTCCCTTCCTTCTCTAGGGGAGCCAGGTAAATTTAGGTGGGTGCTTTGGGGTGGCTTCAACCCCTGCTCTCACCAACCCCTTTCTGGATGCCTTCCCTGCGGAAGGTTGCCTGTGGGGCTGTCACAGCACAGTCCCATCCCAGGGACCTCCCTAGGGATGTGGATGGTGATGCTGAAGCACTCACACCATCACACAGGCAGAGGAGGGTGCCTGGGACTGAAGGGACCTGGAATCAAGCCTGTTTGTGGACACATGTGTGTGAGAGCCCTGTGCTCAGCAGGACAGGGTTGGATGGCAGCAGTGTGTCCCAGAAAGGCTGGCCGGGATGCTGGGCTGGCCAGTGAGATGCCGCACTACAGCACGGGTCAGGATGCCATTCAGGTCTGAGGAAGCTGTGGATCTCTGAAGTGCTGCACACCCCAAGCATTACTCTTCTGCCACCCTCACTTTTCTCTTTATCACCCCCTTCCCTTTCTGTCCTTTCCAAGAAGTCTGACTTTTCCCTCAGCACAAAAGCCCTCTCCCATCGTATCACGGTGTGTCAGTCCCTTTCGGTACAGGCCGGTTTAGCCATTGCACCATCTGGTCCATCTGGACGTACCCTCGTTTCCCAAAAGGATTTTAACTCCCTGTTCTCTCATAACCCCTTTTCTATCCAGAAAGGCAAACTGGGAGTGCAAGACCAGGTAACGGGCAGCAGCCCCGGCTGCGCGATGCTTGCCTGCACCATACTGAGTCTGGCACGTGGTGTTTCGGAGGGGATGCTTTCTGCCCTCCAGATGTGCGGTTTGGTGCTGGGGAAGGGGGTGGGAAGTCCTCACGTAGCTCTGCTTTTCCATGTCGGCACACATCATGCACCCTAAACCTTTCCTTTAGGCTGTTAAAGAACACTCCAGGAATACAAATCACATAAAGTTCTTCCCGTTATTTATCCCTTTTTAATAACCCATTAGGGAGAATGAATAATTCCTGGCAAACCCACTGATGGGCTGAGCTGGGAGCCTCCACAGGGAGCATACCTGGAGCCAGCTGGAGCCCCTGTTCATATGCAGACATGGTTTTGACTCCAGCGAAGCTCAGGCCAGCCTGACTTTACTGGTCCCCCTTGCAAGGTGCATTCCTGACCTTCCCAGTCTGTGTCTTCCAGGATGAGCTTCCCTGAATAGCACAGAAGTCCTGGATCCTCAGGAGGGGAAGTTTTGAGCCAACACGTCACATCACACTCTCTTTTGCCTTGAAAACTGGGACTGGGAGTATTCAGTCCACCTGGAAAAAGAATGCCCTAAACTGTTTGGTGACCTCATTGGGATCATTAGGGCTCATCTCTCTGGGGTTTTGCTCAACAGACACACAGGGCACTGGACCTTGTGTCAGGTGCCAGCAATTCCTCCCATTCCATACTGGGGCGCCTCCGGGTTTTTACAACCAACAGGTACCCGAGCACCAAACCTCCACAGTTCTGGCCAGGGCTCCTGGGGATGCAGCTTAGTGTTGGTGGGGTTTCCTGGGTCTCTACCAGCTGAAGTAGCTGAGGATCTGCTTGGCTTCTGTCATCCCAGCATCCTCCCTCCCTTGCCACTTCTCCTCCATCACGACGGGGCTTGGTGCCCTTTGCCAGAGCAGCGGTTTCAGCCTTGAATTCCTCCTCTTTTGGATGGGTATCGTTCTGGCGAGCACCATTGCCCGTCAGGTGTATCCTGACTATACCACACCCTAAGCGCCTTTCTGCAGTGCCAATGGACAGAATCAGTGGGGTGCACAGGGACATCCCTAACCAGGTCCATGCCACAGAGCTCAGGCACCACACTGTGAGCAAACATAAACTTCTCTCCCTTCCCAAGGACGGGCAGCTCTCACTCAACCCCAGTGTTTGCAATGCTACAGAGGAATCTAAATCCCGCAAATGATACAGCGTAAATCCCCAAAGCTTCTGCTTCTGTTGTGTGCTGCAGCTGGGAGGGGAATGGCCACCCATGGCAGTCATTATCGGGTTCTGTGCTGGTGGGGCATCCATCGACACGTCCCCATTGAAAACTCAGGGTCCTTTGTGCCCTTTCTGAACCCTGGATTGCTTCATTGAAGCATCACTAGAAAGAACTACACACAAGGAGTTTTAAACCATGGTGCATAAATTGAGATGAATAGGGTCAACTTTTGCCCTGAAATTGCTCATCAGATGTCTGCCCTTCCCTAATATCTGCCCAGAATGCAATTCCAGCAGCAAAAACTCAGCAATGGTTTGTTTCTTTTTCCTGATCCCTTTCTGGGGCCGCGTTTGGAGCCAGAGGCAGTCTGTCTTCCTGGTAGGAGGTTAATTAGTCTGTGGTATAAATATGTGCATGCGTCATTTTGTGAAAGGTGATGTTGCATCGTGGTACAAAATTCAGTGGATCCGTAGGTGTGGTGTTGGAGACGGGAATATCCGGTTTCTCAGAGGGGTTTCCATGCATGGTGGCCCATCACCCTCCTTGCTGAAGCCCTTCTGTTTTGCCCCAGGGTGATGCTTCCAAGTCGGATTCGGAGGGGGATCTCTATCACCGCAGCCTGGAAGAAGAGGGAGGACTTAAGAAAAACTTGTCAAATCCAGCCTGTGAGTAACAACCCCAGGAGGTCAGGCTCTTCCACAGAGACCTCGCTTTGCTGGGAAAACAATGTGTCCCAATGGAAAAGGCCCTCCTAGAGAGAATGGTGTATTCCGAGCTGTGGCATGCTTGACGTTGCAGCAGGCTTGTGGCGTGGGGTGGGATTGTGGGATGCAGACAGAGACATGATGGCATTTGGGCTGTAATCTCCCTGCTGAGCCCATGGTCTGGGCATTCAGGGTGTCTCTGCAGAGGCATAAATGAAGGAACCACAAGGAAGGAAGATGGAGGGAATGGGCATGGGCAAGCAGCAGCCCAGGGATGGAGCTGGCGTGTGTTGGTTGGAAGGTTGGGAGCAGCAGATGACAGCCTCCTTCCCCATTGCACCCAGTCCCACTGGCACCTGATCCCGTTCCTGATTTACATCCCCCTGACAGGCTGAAGGATGGATTCTCAGCTCTCCAGAAGGGTTTTTTATCCTCCATCTGCCTGACTCTTGGAGTAGAGCCATCCCTGTGCAGTTTTGCCTGTCCAATAGCAGGTTGTAGATGTTCACTTTGAGATGCAACACCTCAAACCCACTTGTATCTTCCAGTGATGGCCCTGACTGATTACCCAGAGCTGAAGAAGAGCCTGACCCCACCACTCATCATACACACCGCTGCCACACCGATGCCCATGCCCAAGAGTGCCATGTTCGGAGACTCAGCACAGGGCTACGAGTCCCGCCGGGCCAGTGGCGTCTCCATGGACCCCACTGCCTACGAGCTCAAGTCCCCGGTACTCCCATCACCTCCTCCTGCGGATGCTCCGCACGTCCATTGGTCTTGTGGGGCTGTCCATCCATCCGCCCCAGCTGATGCAGCAGCACGGGGCGGGTGGCACGGGGCTGATGCTCTCCCTGTCCTTCCCGCAGCCCAGTGCCCGCAGCTCCCCGCACAGCCCCTGGCGCGCCAGCAGCAGCTGGAACAGCCGCCGCTCCAGCTGGAACAGCATCGGCAGAGCCCCCAGCCTCAAGCGCCGTGGGCAGAGCGGCGAGCGCCGGTCCCTCCTCTCCGGGGAAGGCAAGGAGAGCTCGGAGGAAGGGGAGAGCTCGGATGAGGAGCGCTCCAGCCGGGCCGGCAGCTTCAATGGCTCTTTGACTCAGCGCATGGAGTCGCTGGAAACGAAAGGTTCCTTCGACCTCCAGGATACGCTGCAGGTGCCTTCCCTATACCGGACCAGCAGCATGCACAGCAGCCGAACCACCACCTCCGAGCACCAGGACTGCAATGGGAAGACCTCTCCGGGTCTGCTGCTGCACCAGCTCCACCTGGATGACCCCCGACAGGACTGTGATGATGGTGATGATGAAGGCAACATGGTAAGGCAATGCCAAGCGCTTATTTTGACCTTTTTTCCTTGTCGAAGTGATGCTTGTGCCTGTCTCAGGAGAGCGTGAGTGGGTGCAAAGCAATGGCCTGTGCAGGGACTAGGTCTCACCATCACCATCACGCCAGACTGAGTGCCTCAGAAGAGCATCAGAAGGTCTCTGGGCTTTGAATGCCATCAGAAATGCAGTTGTCATCATATTAGGTATTTCAATGCATTATCAGCTGGTTCATGATGGAGAGATCAGGACAAAACTCCCCAGTTTCCACTTAAAGGTGCAGAGCAAAGGTTGTCTTCTGGAAGCATGTTCAATACAATAGTCTGGGTTGGATATGCTTTCCTGGTTTTATTTCTTCTTTAAGAAAAACCCAAACCAAGTAACTTTCCCTGCTCTCCAACCATTATTCAGCTTTTCGCCCTCACACACAGCAGCAGACAATTTCTGTTGACATCCACAGGCAAGGAAAGGGCAGGGTTCAAGGCTCTGCATTAATTTCCATATGAAAGAGGCATTAGGCCAATAATCGTGTGTCTTTCAGGGGCTGAAATGTGCCATTTAGGAAATATTAACTAAAAGGGCTGCAAGCAAATGGGAGGGACAAGGGTCCCTGGCTCTTTTTCCATGTGAATGCTTGTGTATTAAGGGAATAAGAGGAATTTGTCTGCTTTTCCAAGGTGTTTTGTATGGCTGGGTGAGAGGGGAATGAGCTGGGCAGCAGGATGCCTGCAGTGCTGGCTGTCAAACCTGTGTCGGGATGTCCCGGGGATGGTTTTGGGCTGTCTCCTGCTCTTCCTGGGTTACCTCTTTATTTCACTTCACCTTGTTCTCAGGCTTAAAAATCTGATAGTCTAATGTGTTATCTGAAGGGGTAACTCTTTCTGTCGGTGAAGCAGATGGCTTTTGGGTAGAGCCATGTGATGGTAACCAGGGCAGTACTGAGAACAGGAAAGCTGTGCTTGTGGACATGATTTACTGTATTTCATGGAGATTGTTGAATGAAAATGGAATGTGGAGCATGTGGAGGGGTGAGAAAGGCAGAGGTGACTCCAGAGAAAGAACAGGAGGAGGAAGAGGGTTAATGCTGGCATGATGGAGTCACTAAGCCATGAACCACCTTTAAAAAAAGCCATTATCCCATTACATCTCCAGCATGGATCCTCAGCCTGCGATTTTTACTGATTGTTTTAACCTGATTTTTAACCTCCATAAAATAAATTTAATTTTTGAGAAAAGGAGCAGTAATTATTTTTGGGAAAAGCACAATTAAAAGTAATCAAGAGCCCGTGCTCCTTATTGCTAGTTAGGGATTTCTTTTTCATGCTCCAACATCTCCCTTTTCCAGCTCCTCTGGTCCAAACATCCCACAGGTTCTTTCCTATTCCCCACAAGTGCAGAATTCAACAGCCTCCCTTGTGCTGGACATGGTGTGATGGGACATGTCCCTCCTCTCCTGTTCCATCAGCCAGTACTGGCAGTAAGCTTGAGCGAGATGCATGTGTTTAATCTTTATTATAACAGCTACTTTTAGTTTAAACCAAACATTGCTGTGTACCAAGGTCCATCCACTTAAGGTTAGAGCAAAGGTCCCCAGTCCTCTCTCATGGAGTGGCCAGAAGCAAATGTCTAGGGAAAAGATAGGCAGAAGAGGGTAAATAAATTGTGCCCTCACCCATAAGCCACAACTGGGACATCCACAGCTGGTGCTTTTCTCTGTGTGCAAAAATACGTCTTCACTGCAGATCACTAAACCAGATGGATGGGAAAATATTGCTTAGATTAGCAAAATGAGCCCTCAGGTTGTGGAGCTTCCCTTTGAGATATTCTCATGACGTTTCAGGGGATGCTTTTCCCCTAAATTAGCCTTGACAAAGGCAGGGGGAAAAAAGTAATTATTTTTTAAATGGGAAAAAACCAAATTCAGAACTCCCCCACCAACAAAAGAAGAAAAGAACTCGGCTGTTATTCGGATCAAAGTAATCCTAAATATGCCCTTCTGCAACAAAGCTTCACATCTCTCCTTGCTGCCTGGTTTTGATTGCCTCTGCGTAGAAATGAAAGGAAGTGCAAAGCCTTCGTTTGGATCTCCCAGGCTCCTGTTATATTAGTGCAGCTCTGCTGCCTTCAATGAGTTTATTCTGAATGTACATCTCTGTGAGCAGCCAGAATCAGGCCCCAGAAGTATAAAATCAGGGGACTGAAATACACTTTTCATTGCCTGAATGCAGATCTGCTGCCTGGTGGGGTTCACGTGGCTGGGACCGAGATCAGGGATCTGCTGCAAGGTCTTTGCTGTTCACATCTGCTGGATTTTGCATCCTTTTGGGTGCTTTTCTGCCTAAATTACTGAGTGCTCAGAGCACAAAGTGAAAGAAATATTGAATGTGCAACCAAATGTGTCCCCTCCTCCCTAAAGCCTAATTGCACGTTGCAATTGCAGCCCCTTTCCCCTTTGCCTATTTCCATGGCATGCGGTCCAGCCGCATCCCAAACCCTCTCCTCCTGCCCCTGCTTCGTATTTAATATTAAATAATCAGGTCCTGAGTGCCTCTTTGCAGCTTACAGCTTGCCTGGAGGTCTGTTGCCGTTCACAGAGCATTTTCCAGCAGTTCCCCCCTATTCCTCATAATAAATCTTTTATAAATCTAAGCCTCTCCTTTTACTCTGAGGAGTGCATCAGTCATCTTTTAATGTCAACTGCCTTTCATCCTGCCCTCAGAAGTACATTAATATCTGAAAGTCCTAGTGAAAAAAAGAGAGCTATTTATCAGCAGCTCTCCTCGGTGTGGGATCAGAGGGCCCTGTTAGCACACTGCCAGGTGAAGGCAGCACTGCTGCTGCCTGTTAGCCCCTGCCTGCGTGTGGTGGTGGGAGTTTGGGTGGTCTTATCCAGTGAGATTTTGTCTAAGTTCTAAGCAACTGAATTAAAGGGTAGCTCCTTTCTCCCCCCACATCTTTATTCATCCTGTCCAGGTGTGTTTTATGAACAAACAGATATGATTTAAACCACAAAATTGATAGATCACTTTGAACATAATGCAGGCTTAAGCAGCAATCAGCCTGATTGTAAGCAGTCGATGTGTGCTTGGACCTGGTGGAGAAAGCATTTGATGGGACTTAGGCTGGAAATGCTCAGGTTTTATTTCACAAATATCTTACATTTGGCTCAAATTAACTGAACTGCGTTGTTCCACTGGTGGAAATCTGGAATAATTCCTTTGCCTTTAGATTTCTGTGGATGTACTTGACCCCATACAGAGCAGACAGGGCTGTACCCTGGCTGAGCTGGCCCCAGCCAAACCCTGGTGCTTGCCCTCACTCTACCACGCTGAATACAGAGACATGATGGAAGATCACTTTTTGCCTTTGTTATCTGATTTAGCCCATGAACTGCAAGCTGCAACAATTAGCCAAACCCCAAAATATCTTTGGCATTAGAATTGGACAAAAGGAACATAAAGAAGCATTCTGTGCTGCTGACGCATTACTATTCACTACAAATCCCCATGATAAATACCAGAACTGCTTTGAATAATAGATACTTCTGGAAACCTTCCAACTTGCAAAATGAATTGGACTGAGTCGCAGCTATTACTCCATGTCCAGAGGCAGGGTCAGCAATCACTGTTCTCACCACAACTTTGAGCAGACACTTGATCTTTTCTCATTTATTTACCTTTGTTAAATCTATGGAAGATTAAACTAACTAGGCTGCTTGAAGGGATAACACAACCCCAAGGATGCATATGCTATTAAATACAGTTTAGAGAGAAGGGAATAGTTCTGACTCCTCGCCTGGAGTTGGAAGAGTGATGTGGAAAGAGCCAAGACGTGGCCAAAACCTACTGGTGTGCTATGGCATAGAAGGTGAGAGAAGGACAGGCAGCTAAAGGAGAGGGGCAGAAAGCTCTTGTCTTTTATTGTTATTCAAACTTTTCTTGTTATTTTCACAAGGTGGTTTTCATTTTATGAAGGGTTCAGGTTGTCACCAAGTGCTTTCATTAAAACGGACATTACACCAGTTATTACCCATTGCTAATGAGGAACAGAAAGCACTTCCCCCATTCCACTCAATTACCCTAACAAATCCCATTTTTACAGTCCAGAGTACCTTCAATTGCTAACAGTTTGGCTCCAAACAAATCCCTGCTCCGTGTTTCCAGGATGAGATAAATAGAAGTGCTTCAGCCCTGGGGTCCTGATGCTCCTGGGCTGTGAGTGGTGATTCCCGTGCAGTGCTTCATGCTCACATCTCTGAGTATCTGCAGAAGAAAGCTTCAGAGACCCCGTGCAGCCGCATTCCCATGTGTATGCCAGTCCAAGCCACGGTGGTAGCAGAGAAATAAGAGTAGTGAAAGAGCAGTGATTTGGTTTTATTTGTCTGTAAATCCAAAGCACTGTGTTGAACCCTGCACACATCAGTCTGTAGATTTATAATCTGGTGCTTTGATTTGGAAGGGAAAGCCCTGGCATGGTGGGTGAGTTGTTGGCCTGGCTTCTGCTGATTGTCCATGCAGAAGGCGCTAACACTGCAGTGTCAATTGGATTAGAAATCCTGACCTGGCCTCAGAGACCTATGGATGAGAGGGTGACAAACCTAATCCAGAGGCTGCTGCAGCTGGGATGAGGTTTCCCCTCGGCATCCAATTCTTGATGTCTTCAGTTGACCTGCTGGCTAAAGCTTTTACAATCTGGCCTCCTGACCTTAAATAACCTTAGAGACAATCTAAAGCATAAGTCTATGCAGCTGAGGATGCTCCGTGGCTTCAAGTAGGAATTAATTTGCAGGAGTCGAATGGCCCGTGTTCATGCAGAAGGTCAGCCTGGGCACAGCGTTCCCTTCTGTCTTTATAATCTCCCATCTAATCTGTTCATGCTGAATGAGAGGCAGATGCTCACCATTGTGTTCCTGGAGCTTCAGCTTTCCAGTGGTGCAGGGACATAGGGGTTGGCCTAGGAAGCAGCAGGAATCCTTCCCTCTTCTCCCTTTATAACCCCTGACATAAGTGTTCTGTACCCTTAAAAATACCCTAGACACCGGGGGGGGGGCCCCCCCCCAAAAAAAAAAATACCATAAAGGCCCTTAGAAGATTCAGGTAAGCATCTGATGAGTATCTGGAGGGACTGAGGATGACCAGGGCAGGTTATTTTGGAGAGGTTTATCAGTCCTCTGGGCAAGGGGTCTATTTATCCTGTTTGTCCTCTTGGCTAACTGTGTGCCAGATGCAGTTACTGTGCGGAGGAAGAAGCAAGAGGAAACCCTGTGAGATCACAGGGCCAGCACACCCCTCACCTGCCTGCCAAAGCTCCTTCCCCTGCGCAGAGTGGTCCTTTTTGGTGGGGAGAACATTGTATTGTTGAACTTGGAGATCTGTGTTCAGTGAAAAATTGCCCCGAGTCCTTCATTTGGAAGTGTGGGATTTTATTGTTTTAACAGTTCTCTCTGTGTTTTCCTCCTGTTCTGCTGTACGTTTTCCTCCTAGAGCAAAAAGGACCGCATGAAGGCGTGGATACGGGCACGGCTCCCGACCTGCTGCAAAGAGAGAGATTCCTGGTCCATCTATGTCTTCCCTCCTCACTCAAGGTAAGGGAGCTGCACTTAGGTGGTGCTGGGCACGTGTGCCCTTGTTACAGTGGTTTGCTCTGCTTCTCTCTACAAAACTCCCAGCCCTTCCCCTACTCCAGCACTAGATCAGGGTCACACAGGATAGGAGTATCCAGGAAAGACCCATAACCCAGTGCATGGCTGCAGCTTTGTCTAGTTCATCGTTTCCTTCATTAATGATGCTAGAGCTCTGCAAGCTTTTCACTTGATGGAGCATGGGGAGTTTGAAGCAAGAGGGAGAGATGCTGGTTAGGCAGAGGAATCTGAATTTTCCCCACTGCACACTTACAACACATCAAAGGATGCTCCTTGGCCTCCTAGGCCTATCTCTCAGCCTGGACTTCCTCTTTTCCTCTCTCTTTCCCTGCAGGCCCCTGGTTCTTGCCTCCCAAAGCCCACCCATGCTGGTGCTCTCTGGGCTCCATGCTCTCCTACATGTTCCTTTGGATATGCACCCATGCTCAATGAGGGCTTCCCATGTTAGAGCCGATGGGCCCGGACAGCATTGGAGTTCATTCACACAAAGATTAGAGAGATTTTCAGAAACAGACTTTGGGAAATGTAATTCGGTATTATAAATCCTGGGTCAGTGTACAGCCATCTGTCACAATAAATAGCTTCTATCCCTTTGTCCCATGTGCGCTCAACCCTCACGGGCTTGCTGGGAGTATTCCTTCCTTTATTTAAGCTAAACCTGAGCACTATGGAACAGGTAGGGGGTCAGATCCAAACCTGGCCACATATCCAAATTATGGAAGCAGCTGCTCTGTTTCAAAGTGACCCAAAGCCCCCTATAACATTACCAGGGCTTGCAGTTAACAGCCCAGTTCTGTAGCTTATATCCTTTCCTATTCATACCCCTATCTGCCTGCAACGTGTGCCTCTGCCAGGGAGGGGATTGGGAGATTGTACCTCATCTGCTTTGCGAACGGAGCGCTCGACTCCCCTGCCATGCACGGAGGTGCTGTGTTCCTCCCCATCCAGTCGAGCATTAATAGCTGGTCTCTGTGCCCTCTTTTTTGTTTTCTCTTTTTTCTTTCTTGGCAGATTCCGTCTGATGTGCAATAAAATCATCACACACAAGATGTTTGATCATATCGTCTTGGTGATCATTTTCCTGAACTGCATTACCATTGCCATGGAACGACCCAAAATTGAGCCTCACAGTGCCGTGAGTTTCTAAGGTTAACGTTTTCCTGTGCTCCTCATGGAGCCAACACCCATGGCCTGGACCTCACCGCTGTGCACTTGATCTCACTTCCTTTCTCTTTTTAAATGGGAAGTTGTTAACACTCCTTGTGTATCCTTTGAATGAGGTGCAGCAGCTCTCCTGGTCCCTATCCAGTGCCCTGACAGAGTATAAGAGCAGATCTTATGGCCTGCAGTAGATCGAATATCCCATTTCTGCAAGTACAATCAAGGTTTTAGCACATAAGCATGACATCTGTCTCTGTTTCCTTCTCTGATAAACCTTCAAACACTTTTCCTCTCTCAACACAATGTTCGTTTTTTTCCATCTGTTCTCCACCAGCACGTATGTGTGGTGCAAAAGCACTGGGGGAAGCTGTTCATTTCATATTCTTCTCTCCCCTTTGTGTATCAGCTTTGTTGTGACACAAAGACCTGAATTGATACATGCACTGTGATGCCATTTCCCCAAACAATTTTGTTTAATGGACTACATAAGGATTTCTCAAACCAGACCACAGCATCAACATCCATCAGTCAGAGGGGCAGAATCCTATTGCTCTTTTATTTTAGCATAGATTGTGGCTCAGAGATACCCTGGGTTCTTGCTGATGTATTGCAAAAGACTGCTCATATCACATAGAATCCTGTTTTGTTGATGTAGGCGTGTCAGGCTGTTCATTTTTGTGGATCTTCAGTGTAAGACCTTAAAACTGGAGCCTTGGCTGCTCTGTGCCTATTTTAAGCTCTCCCTAGTAGTCCTCCTTACTGTAATGGTTTGCCCAGTGGTCCTTCCCCTAAATCCTTTTCTTTTGGTTATTGTGCAGTTGTGGTGCTCTGACTCACAGCTGCAAGAACAGAGCAGGGCTCCCTGCCAGCTGATCTAGCAGGAACAAATCACCCTCCTGTTTCCTAAATGGGGCACCCTGAGAATGTCCCTTGAAAACCCAAATGCTTCTTTGGAGCCCCTTGCTTTGTCCTCAGAGAGCTACCATTCACCAAGACTGGCTCCGAAAGGAGCTGTAGTTACACAAGGATGAAAGGAATGGTGTGACATGCATGAGTTTGAGATGTTCACAGCAAAGAGGTGCAACATAAAAACCCAGTACTTCATATATGAGAGGAGGATATGGTGTTCCCCTGCATTGGAGGAGTGCAGAGACGACTGGTGTGAGATTGATCAGCATCAGGTTATAATGAAGGGAACCAAACTGGATCATCCAGGGCTGGAGCGGAGCTGGACTGCAGCCTGGGAGCAGCAGAGAGGAGATGGGAGGTGCTGAGCTGTGGGGCAGGAGCAGGGGAGCCGGGAGGAGTGCGCAGGCCCTGCCTGCACTGAGGGAGCTCTCATCTGGAAACCAAGAGAGTTAGTTTAGCTTGAGTTGTTTGAAATAATTGTACTTTGCTTCCCCGAGCTGTGGATTTTCCAGCTCCTTCAAGCGAGTTCCCTTTTCCCTGTCCCAGTTTCAGCTGGCTTATCAGAGCGGGGGATGCTGTTGCTAGCCAACATGCGCTCCCCATTGCAGAGTGCACGACATGGGTCGGGGAGATTATCCTTCAAAATAGCTACGAGCTTGCCAGAGAGGAGTGTAATATCCTCAGTTTCTCCTCTATGCTATTGCTGTTTTATCTCCAGCTCCACAAGCGGGTCCCTACCCTCTTTCTCCTGCATGCTGCCTACCCCTCTACAGTGGTCTTTTGTGTGGCAGTCAGCTAACAGCCAGAGATGTTTCCTATCACAGCTCCCGCAATCACAGTGAAGGTCTAGGACCTAATTAATTATGGACCCTGGATGGAAACAAGCTACTCTGTGGTTCCTGAGTCACTTTCAGTAAATCATGATCTGGCAAGCGAGAGAGTTGCCAAGGTGTTTTGTCTTGTTTAAATTGCATCTCATTTTGAGCGAGATCTGCATCTCCTGCAGGACTGCTCTGTAGGGAGCAGCAGAAATAAATCCAAAATCATTATTAGCAGAACTGGGGCTGGATCAATTGTATGCGTACATGCATACATGCACACATATCATCTTTCCTCCAGACTCAGCCTTCTGCTGTCCATTTCTCAGTACAGGCAATCAGAGATTGTTTAGGGATTAGGGAAAAGTGTAATTTATTTAATGATCATCATTAAAAAGAAAGGTTTCTGCTAACTACAGATAGGGAACCAGTCCATGGTCTCATCTGTAATCACTAGCTGCTATTGCAGATTGGTGGCAGTGAGGACTGCATGGTCTGGTGGATAGCACAGGAGACTGGGAGATGAGACTGTTGGGCTTCAGGCCAGGTATAGCCTGTGGCTTTGAGCAAGAGTATCAACCTTTTGGGGGCAGGTCTCAGCTGTCATAAGCCCCCAGAGCTTTGCTGACTTCAGTGGAGCTGTGACAACTGATGCCAGCTGAGCCTCAGCATCCCATGGGTCCTGCTTGCCTTGCAGCACAGCCACTCGAATGTTGACTCAATTTCTAGGGGAGCTGGGAGCTCAGTGATATTTGCACTGTGCGGTGACGTCCGCAGGTGAGGGGCAGGTAGAGATTTGTCAAGCATATTCCAAGGGGATGAGTTCTCCCTTTTTATGCTGGAGAGTGGTGTGGATTTGGGGGCAGATGGGGGGATTTGGGGGCAAAAGGGGATGGATGCTGGTGGGTGCCTCTGTCCATGGTGCTGACGCAGCCTCGGGCACTGCTTGTGCTGAATCCTCGTGCATGGAATTGTCTAAATGTTTTCTAAGGATTCTCTGAGGATTCTCCCCTTTGTGAGCAAACAGTACAAAACTTTTTTCAGCACAGAAGCTGGAAAACAGTTAGCAACCACCCAAATATGCACAGTGAGATGTTCAGCTGCAGAGAGCAGGCTATAAGATATTGTCTCTCATTTTCTTTTCCTTAGGAACGGATTTTCCTAACACTCTCCAATTACATCTTTACAGTTATCTTCCTGACTGAGATGACAGTTAAGGTAAATGAAGGTGGAGGATAAGTGTGCCTGTATTATAGCAGTGATATTTTATTACTGTGGACTCACAAAACCCGTAGGTCTACCAGCTACCAGTGAGGTGTATACTTTCCTCTTCTGCATTGTATTCAAATACCCACCACATGCCTTATTCTGAGCACGTTTTACATCAGAACAATTTCAGTGAAGTTGCTCTTGATTTACACCATTATACAAGCAATGGGATGCTTCAATTCAGCAATCCTTTCCTATTCAGCAAAGCTCTTGAGTACATGCTTAACTTCAACCATGCATGTAAGACCCATTGTCTTCAACAACCAATTGTCCTCAACAACCTAAGCAGCTATGTGCTTTCCTGAGGAGGGTGAGACTTAAAATTAAGCACGTTGAAACACTTTGCTGGATTTGAGGCAGGAGGCTCAGAAACCCATTGCTGTAAATCTCTCTTGTGTAATTCATAATCATCTCACAGAACAATTGCTCTTTCTTGGGAAAGTTTCTCTAGTTTCTTTATTTGCAAAGCTCATAAATGATTGCTTGGGTCAGCCACTCTGAACCTTTGCTCCAGCACTCTACAGGAATAAATTATGATCAGACTTTTTATGCCAAAGCTAAACAGGAACAGTTTTGTGCAGCTACATTTAGCTGCATTAAAAATACATCAGCTGTAAGGGACAATCTGGGATGTTTCTGCAGAGGTATTTTTATAATTCACACAGTATAACACTTTGTTGATTTGTTTAATTAGGCTTCTATATTGGGAGGCAAATGGACTCACAAACTTGCATCTGTAAATACTGCATTCTCAGCAGGTTGCTAACGGAAAGGAACATATTGGATGCAGTAGTCATAATTTCTTGCAACTTGGTGTCCGGGCAGGTGGTGGCACTAGGCTTGTGTTTTGGGGAGAAAGCCTACTTGAAAAGCAGCTGGAACGTGCTGGATGGGGTGCTGGTTCTCATCTCCGTCATCGACATCCTGGTCTCAATGGTGTCAGACAGCGGCACGAAAATCCTGGGAATGCTGCGGGTTTTGAGGCTGCTGAGGACACTGCGGCCCTTAAGGTAAGCAGAGAAAGACCTAACTGAGCATAGACTGCGTGTGCCAAAGGAGAACTGTGCCTCTCCTGCAAGCAGCATCATCTGTGCAAAGGAAGGGGGGTGATGAGACATGGGCAGGGTGCCTGTCACCAGTGCTGTGCCTAGCCTCCTGCTGCTCTGCAGACAATGAGCATCCTCAGGTCCTGCGGTGCCACGAGGAGCTCTGGGTGCTCACCGTGTTTTGGGACCAGCCCCTAGTGCAGCAGTAAACTGATCAATGCCTCTTTTTGCTCATTAAAACACACATCCCCTGCTATTTGTGTTCTCATTTGCTCTGTGTAAAGTGCAGCTTAACAGCTTCTTCTCCCCCTTTCCTTCAGGCAGTCAATGGCTTTCGTAACAAAGAAGGAAATTAGTAGCAGGTGGCAGATAATTTTTAAGGAAGCAGAGACTCAACTGTTGCTCAAGCTAGAATGCAAAGAAGCTTTTTTTCTTTTTTTTTTTTTTTAATCTCTCAGTTCCCCATTAATTTTACGGAGACATTTACTTTGAAAATTGCCCAGACAAGATGAAAGCAATTGTCCCGCTAGCTTGATCCCCCAGCTCTGACAGCAGGCGGTATCCCATGCTCCAGGAGCAGGCACCCCTCTGACAAGAACCTGCCCAAGTACCAGCTTCTGCCAAACAGGCATCTGTTTTGTCCTGTACCCCAAGGCATGAAGGTTTCTGTCCATGCTAAATGCAGTCCCTCTTTAATACCATTGTTGCCGCTCTTGTTATGCAGCAGCTAATAAACCTTCCTGCTCAAAGCATCTTTGTGTGCCTGTCATATCTTACTGCTGCTTCCTTCATCAAAGGTTTGCTTTGAGTCAGGATTTTCTCTTTCAGGACAGAAAAATAGGACCCTGCTTCTGACAGAAGATGTTGTTTTACTACCCCTGTGTGAATAAGAAGTCTAAATAACAATGACCGTGCCTGTACATATATCCTTTAAATATCTCAACAGCTATGAAAGACATTCTCTTAAATTGCTCTATGTGTATGTTGTTCCTGGTGAGCTTTTGGACGTGAGCTGCTTTTAATCGTTTTTATCTGGACAGACAGTGCCACTGGTGTGGTGCAGCTCCACGACCATATGATTGGACTGTTCTACGTGACTCCAATTCAGACTTTTTTCCACTTCATGTGTCCCCTGGTATCTCCATGTGAACTCTGGTTTCTCGGGGTAGTTCCTGCCAGGTTGTTGCTTTGATAGGTCTTCTCAGTTGTTCTGTTCTGGCTGATTTTTGACCTGGTTTAAGAATATGTACAGTATAATGTGTAGAGCTCTGGGTAAGAGATGGATTGATTTCCCATCTCTGAACTGGGGAGTCCAGGTTTCTCTTTTAGGTGATGTGTTTAAATCGGATCTAGAGGAAGAGGCTGGAGTTGTGCTGAACCCTACTAGAGTCACCCGGATTGGGTTGTGCTGAGCCCTGCTAGAGTTACCTGTCTGACCTAGTAAAAACCCTGCATGCTTCTTTGTAGATCTATAGGTCTGCCTGGCCAGGACCCGGGTCTTTGATTACTAGAGCCTTTCTCTGTAGTCACCTATATGCATGAGTACTCTGCAGTTAGGGGAATAATCCCATGTGTAACTGCAGGCTGGAGGAAGACCTGCCATCTGGAACAGGATTAGGCTCTTCCATTGCTATTCCACTCCTGTTGGCATTTGATATGTTTTCTCAAGAGAGTGTGTGAATGTTTTCAGCCAACATGCTGCTTTCTACTACAAAGGAAACGTAAAAAGGCAGCAACAAGCCCATTCCCTAAATATGTTCACAATCAGTTCTATTCCCCTGTAATTAGATTTGTAGGAAATGAAAAAGCAGCCATCAAACTGGGGGCTTTTCAGTAAGTCATAAATCTCCACATGTGGAAACCCATCTGCCTCTGTGATGCACATCTGGGCTGCCCTGCGCTGCCCTCTCTGCCTTTGCTGCCGGCTACGCTGCGCGGCTCAGGGATCACATCATCACTGCCTGGGATGTTCAGATGGATCAACGTGAGGTGACAGCTGGGACAGGTGACTTGAGGTCTTTGCACACCGTGCACATCCAGTCCCTGTGTCCACGTGAAGCTCCTTATGGAGACCAAGCCAATGTTTTTCTTTCCAGGAAGGCATAAGGCAGAGACCAAAGCAAATGCTCTGTCCCCACAACAGGGGAGCTAACCCAGCTCTTTCTGTCCTCCCTTTCTGTGAGCACTTGGGGACAGGGTTGCAGGGAGCACACCCTCAGTTAGAAGCCAAGCCATGGTTGTGCGTGTCACACTCAAGGGTAGGAGCAGCTTTTATTGTATCTGTGTTGGATTTCTTGGTTGATCGTCTGAAGGAGTTCTTCTTGCAAAAGACCTCCCTCATTCTGCCTCTTATTTTCTCCTGTGAAAACAACCCCGCTGCTTCATGCAGCACACAAACCCACAAGTGCTTGTGCCTTTTACCCAGACGTTAAAATACACTGGCCTGTGTGCCAATCATGGGCTTCTGATTGCATGATTGATTATCAGCCTCTAAATTGAAACCATGAGCATTCCAGCCAAGCTTTATGACTAGAATTCCAAAAATACATTCACAAAGGAGTGACATTTAAAGATATTTCCATGACCCTCTGATGTTTCAGCCAGTAGAGGGATTGCTTATACAATAACATTCCTTCCTAATGCGTTCAACCTGCTGTTGTTGGGGTCAAGTGTTGTAGCTGAAGATACAAGAGGAATCAAAATGGAAAATGTATTCGGATTTAATGTGAATGGACTTCAGTGCTGTTTTACTCTCTACAGAGTCTGGGCTTTAACTTCCAAAGAAGTTAAATTATTCACTTTTTATAGCATCACAGTATGAAATAGTCATTTCAGAGACTCTCTTCTATCTATCATATCATCTTCGCTATTTGTTTAAATCTGTGGGGGAAGGTCTTCATTAATGTTGATCTGCTACTTCATCTAAGTGCTGCTGCTGCTTCTGAGCTCTCTGATCAGGCTAGCGGGCTTAACGTTAGTAAATGTGATCCAGCTGCGATGAGGCTGGCAATGGGTTTGGAGTGTCTCACACCAGGGGTTTAACAGCCTTGGGAATGCTGAGACCAGCAGAACCAGGAGGAACTTGAGGGATTAATATTTCTTCACACTGAAAAGAAAAAAAAAAGGCAAAATGGTCTCATTTCAGTTTGCCTATTTGTCACATGCCAAATGCAGACTGGAATTGTCCTGAACAGTGGGTCTATGGCTCTGGAACACCCTGAGGGCTCCAAATCAGCTGCGTCCTTCAGGGATAAATAGCAGGAGTGGTGGGTCAGATAATAGAGAGTTTACAAGCCTGCTATCAGCAAGACATTGGGCAACATTGATGAGGTGTGGGGATGCTGCATGTTGACATGTTGAGGGTGATACTAACAATCTGGAAATGCTCAGGATTTCATTGGCACCTCTTAAGAGAGTTAACAGACTCTCAGGAGAGCAGCAGGAGTCTGCACAGACTTTGCCTTGACGTTGGATCAAGCCTTTAGTCTGAGGAGCTCCAAGGTTTTCATTAGTAAGAACTATTACTTTTCCAACTCTTTTCAAAGTCGTCTCTCCCTGTAGGGCTGGAAACAGCTCTGGCATGGAGCTAAACTGGTGGCAGCTTTTACCCTCATGCATTCTCGTTTGAGGAATTCCCTGGTTGATCAAAACACTGAAAGCAGCCAAATGCTGCAGTTTCTCATCCTTTTTTTTCTCAACACACATGGCTTTGTGAAGTCAGACAAGTAACCTCCTATTTTCTTTCTCTGCTGGATACCGAATAGTATCTCACAAGGGAAATCACTTTATTATTTCTAGAATAGGCCTTCTTAATAAGTGTTGGAGAAGATTATTAGCTTTATACTCTGGAGACTGAATTTTTTTCCTGTTCCTCAAAATTTAAGGATGCTCCAGTAGCTTCAACCACAGGCCTTCAACTGAGAAGACCTGACTTTGTTTCCCTCTTGTGTGACAGTGGACAGAACATAGTGAGGATCCCTAAAGGCACCAAAGTACCGGATTTCCATTTAAATCATTGGCATGGACTTGTTGCATACCTCTGAGAATATGGCTTGCTGTCTTCCCATGCCTCAGTTTCCCGTCTGTAGTCTGGCAGTTGTAGTATTTCACCCAGGGTGATGTGATGGTAATACGTGGGGGATGGCAAAGTCTTTAGACCATCTGAGGAACAGAAAAGAGAGTCAGCTTCAGACTGTCCATCCCAATGCTTGCTTTGTGCACTTAGATGGAGTGGGAAGAGCCCTTACTTAGCCAGTTAGGCTGGATTAACCACATTGAGTAGGGCACATCAACCTGTTGTCCAGTTGCCCCTGCTAGCTGTCCTCAGATCACCTGTCAGCCTTGATGCAGGTATAATGCACAGCAGCAGCAGCAGCAGCATCACTGCCCCAGCGAGGACCTCAGCCTGGGGTAATACACATGGGCAGTTTTGGCATCTCACACCAACCTTCTCCATACTTCCATGGCTGCATGGGGTCCACACCGTCTCCTGGAGCCATCTCAGCCTTGAGCAGCCCTCTGCTCCCTAAGCCACCTCACCTCCCCCAGCTCATCCCCTGAAACACCCCAGATCTGAGCACTGGGAAAGCTGAGGTGTCTGAAATGGGGAGCCACAGCAGCAACCTGGAAGAGACATCAGGCATTAGGAGCAGCAGCATCTGCCTTTTGTGCTTCACTGCTAAGGGAGTGGATAAAAATACCACCATCTGTTTATTTTTTAAATGATAATTGATGAGTTACCCTTGACATTTCGAGTAAATATTTAACCAGAAAAAAGGGAAATAATAATTTTTAGCTTTTCAGGATTCTGTTTAAAGCCAACTGGCTTTCAAAGCCCTGGTGCTGTACACTGAACACTGCAGTTCGCTAAAGCAGTCAGCTCTGGGGCAGGGGAGGATTGGTACAGGCTTGGCTGTGGTCCCAGCTAAGGCCATGCATGTTGGGCAGGTGGATGCATCCATGGGGACCTCTCCTGGGAGAGCCCCTGGGAAGCAGGAAAGAGGAGGAGAACTTGGATCCTCTCCCATCAGTAAAACTCCAACTGTGCTTCAGGTGGTGCAGCCAGGCTTGGGGTGAAACAAGGGGGCAATGAGAGGACTCCCGTGGCAGGAAGGAGAACCAGGCAGAAACAGGAAGGTGGGGAATTTTGTGGCACTTTTGAGTGCCAAGTGTTCAAAGGAGTCACCAGCCAGTATCCCTCTGACTTACACAGCAGACAGCTATTTCTGCCTTGGGAAAACACAGTTTCTATGGCATCAGTACAAATTGATTTACAGTGCTAGTGAAACGCTTAATTCCGGTTGGCATCAAGAGCAGGGAGGTGTGCAACCTCTTCAGATGCCTTTCTCGGTCCTTTAGCTCTCCATCTTCAGGTCTGTGAGCCTGAATAGCTCGTTTATCTTGCCCAGCATGGTGACATGGCTTCTCTAAATCACACAAGCCTTGTCCTTTCATTATAGTGTTGTCCTTGAGAGTATAGTACAGTAACTTTATGTGGTACCAGACAAAGAGGAGCTACAGAAATAAAGTTAGATGCCTGGGATTGGTGGACGCAACTGGTTCAGTAGCTGAGGTTGTACTGTGGGTATAAAGAGACTGTGATGATACTGAGGGGTAGCTCAGGGCTCTGTGTGCAGCAGCACTGTAAGGACATGTAGAGATCGTTTGTGATGAAGGTGGTGAGATGCTGGCACAGGTTGCCCAGAGAGGTGGTAGGTGCCCCATTCCTGGAAGTGTTCAAGGTCAGGCTGGATGGGGCTCTCAGCAACCTCAAGATATCCTGCTTCTTCCATCATGATCTTGGAGTTATTTGCCATTCTAACAAATTCCCTAATGCTGTTTTCTCCACATCTCCTATCTTGATAGGATGCAGAACTGGGCAAGGACAGGACTAACACAGCTTTTATGTTTCCATGTCCCCGCAGAGTCATCAGTCGAGCCCAAGGACTAAAGCTGGTGGTGGAGACTCTCATGTCATCCCTGAAGCCCATTGGAAACATCGTGGTCATCTGCTGTGCCTTTTTTATAATCTTTGGAATCCTGGGAGTTCAGGTGAGTCCCCTGTAAGCCTCAGCACCTAACCCAAGGAGGTAAGGAGGCACACATGGCCCCACATCTGGGTATCTATACTGATAGCACACTATAAACCTTCCTGAAACTGACCCAATGGGCTCTTTGGCCTTGTTGGGGAAGGCTCCTTGCTCCTACTGAGGAGGAAGCAGATTTCCCATTATTCATCAGCCATTAAAATCTCATTAACAACTGCAGTCTAACAACAGTGGCCCAGCAGCATGTATTCCCAGCCACAGTCGAAGGAGCAGTGGTTAGATCCAGTTAGTGGGGTTAGTTTTTCCCCTCTCTGGTTCCATCAAGGTCCTCTGCCCAGCTTTAGAAACGTGTGTTGGTTTTGAATCCATAGCTTTGCCACAGTCAACAGCCTGGAATGACTCAGACCCAAGGGTTTATGTATCTCTCAGTTGCCACCCCAGGAGCACAGCATGGCCTTCCAAGTGCTCTCAAGACTTCCAAGTCTTGGCTTTGTGTCACTTGACATGTTGGAACTTTCTTGAGGCTTCCCTGTTGCATGCAGTAATTACAAAAGCCAATGTGATGACCCCCTTAAGGCACAGAATGGGCTTTCTTCATCCATTCCCCACCACAAGGACTTCTGCTCTGCCTGCAGTGGGATGTGATTCAAGATATTTGTCCACTTCTTTGGCCCAGCCATGCCAGAGAAGCGTCAGGCCTGAGGCATGACATGTACCACCAGAAAAGCTCCACTTAGGGAAGCTGTTAAATCCCATTCCTGTTCTGTCTGAGGGATAGCATAGGGGGGTCTCCCCTCCACCTTTCTTCTAGGTATGAACCAGTGGGGAAATAGAAGCTCTCAAAGCTGAAATTGTTGGTTTGTAAACTCCAGAGAGACCTAGACCTAGAGATTCATTCAGATTCTGACAGCTTGTATAACTGAAAGCTTGCAGAACTAGAGATTTCTGAGCCTGCTTCCTGCCAGCTCTGCTGGCAATATCCTAGTGTCCCAGAAGTGCAGGAACCCAGGGGAAGAGTGGCAGAGTTTCCAATGCAATTGGTTTCTCATCACCTGAAGAGATTGTCTCATATAAATATTCAGACATAACACTTATTTCTTTCTGAAGTTTATCTGATGTGTCATGCCAGCTTTGGAAAACAGCTCTGTTTGTCTTTGGTTTAGAAGGGTGTCTTATGTAATATTTTATGCTAATATACTCTTTAAATAATAAATACAGCATTGAAAATAAACGCAGAATGTGACATGCAGAACCACCTCAGCAGCTAGATTGGCTTTGCATTAGACTACAGCAACATCCATCCATTATACTAAACAGATTAATAAAACAAAGCATATCCCGTAAAACAGTATAAAACCCAGACACAGGCAAATTTATGCCCAGCAACAAAAGTTGCAGTATGCTCTTTGAGTTTCCTCCCTGCTAATTGTGATTGCTTTCTCCCTGGTGACTTGCAGTCTTAGGTTAAATTGTCATGACTGCTGATGTGCTTAAGTGGTAGATACAAGCAAGACTGATCCTGTATTCTGGATGCAAAGTTCTCTGTTAATATTCATGTCTAATTAGGTGTAAGATTAGGGCCATAGCTATTTGCTATAAAAAGATGATCCCTCCAAGTTACAGTTGGCTTTCCCACGTAAATATAAACCGGGGATTAAACCAGAGGGTTTAAATGCCATTAAAAGTCAGCTGTCCACATTTCTAATGGTATTTCCTCTTAGCAAGACTGATTTTGGTGTAGAGCTTGCCCACGCATGAATAGTCATTAGTAACACAGAAGAAATACACAAAACAAGTACAGTGGGAAACACTGGGTCTTTCAGAAGTGATGAAATCTGAAGCACTGATGGGGATCAGCATTTTTGCAAACAGAGCTTTGCATTTCCAGACCCTGTTAGTAGCTGTGTTACTGCTCCCATCTGAGTGGCAGTACAGGCCAGCTCCTGGAGAAGTTATATTTATAATCAATATATTAAAACCAGTTCTTTACCTTCCTGCTTAATTAAAGCTTTACTCTGTGAAGGCTATATCTCCCCAGTCTGCCGTACCCACGGATAGTGTTTCTCCATGGAAAGATCAGGGAATACTTCTCTTTTTGCATCCAGAGGTTTTATGGCTGCGTTGTGTGGTGATTAATTTTGCATGCCTAGAGAACATCCTTCTGCTGTTGACTGCTGAAGGAAACCCATGGAGTAATGCGTGGGTTTATCTTGTTCACTATTATTTCTACTGATATTTGTCTAAAACAACAGATAAAAATCCGTCAGTGTCTTTTCTCTGTATACCCAGGTGGTGTTTTAAGGAGCCTGGAGAGCAGGCTGCCATTTCCCCCAAAACCAGCAATGTCAATAGCTTCTGTCAGCAAATAAAACCAGATTTGTTGGTTGTCTCCTGGGCTTTCATACCATCCATCCTGCTAGCATCAATCACCCTGTCTGAAGCAGTAATCATCCCCTACCAGTCTGTTCTGTGTAGAGAAAGCAGCAGGTCTAGAATCAGGAGGCTCATGTTGCTTGTGCAGGTGTAAATCATGAGCTGACTCCCCAGGAGTTGCATCTCCTTTGGCTTACACCAAAGGAAACAAGCTCAGGGTCAGGTACCCAGCACTATTTGGGCTTGGCTCCTTATGCTCAGACCAAGGAATATTTTTAGAGACCCCTGCTCAGACTTCAGAGCCTAATGACAGCTGGAGAACTGTGCTCAGGATCAGGGACCAGAGCTGTACTGACAGTAGTCTTGATTCAGCAAGAGCCCAACATCACTCGCAGCAGCTTGGCTCCTCTTTGACATGTTCCCTTGTGACCCCTAAGAGCAGAGCTTAGTCCATCACTGTGCTCATCAGTGCCACCATTCCTTTGCTAGCAGAGGGCCCCTGTTACACTTAATTTGTCCATGACTCTTAAAACCAGCACCATTAACTGGGCTGAGAGCCACTGGAGTGGTTCCACAAGGGGTAAGAAACCATTAGCTGCTCTGGGCCATTAGCTGGAGCTACACTTCTGCTGCCCACCCAGAAGCAAAGGCCTTTAGGGCACTCTCAGATCAGTGAACCAGACAACCTAATACATGAGGTGGGTGTCCTAAACGATGTGAAATCATGCATTTGTTCATTAGGTGTGTATTATACAGGCTGCTCACACTTAATAACCTACACGAATGAGGCCATCTCCTTTAACTCCTCTGGTCAGCGTGGGCTGTGCAGAGTACCCAGGGAGAAATGCCCATCATCTGCAGGCTGAATCTTTACAGTTCTCCTTTTCTTTGCGTATTTTGCAGCTTTTCAAAGGCAAGTTTTTTGTCTGCCAGGGGGAGGACACCAGAAACATCACAAATAAATCGGATTGTACAGAAGCAAGCTACAAATGGGTCCGGCACAAGTATAACTTTGATAATCTCGGCCAGGTATTAATAGAATGGTAATCTGCTTCTTTGCTCCTTTACCTCCTTGACTTAAAACCTGTGCGTTATTATCCCATGGGATTTTCTTACAGGGCACTACGAGTCGCAGTAAAGATTCAGTTCACATACACAGCATTCTGTCTCTGTAAATCCCAAAGGTAGTGTTTCCAAGCAGGCATACACTTCTTTTCAGAACGGAACAAGCACATGTGGCTTTGTGGAGTACTTAATTGCTTCACTGCTACATAACAAACTAAATATATCTTGCAGAAGGGCTTGTCTAATACAGCTGGACAATTTCAACCTTCTCTGCAGCACAGCCTTATTTTAGTAGCATGGTAAGGACTAATTAGTGGGGAGCAGTGGAGACCTGGAGGGTAGAAATGAAACTCCTTTTGTCTTCTGCTTTGTGGTTTCCGAATTAGTGCTCATTGCTAAGCCAAGGGTATTGACAGGTTCATGCTGCCAGGAGAGACCTTGGGCATCAAAGTGCCCCGTTATCAGGCAGGTAATGATAATCCTCAGACAGGAAAGGGCAAAGAGGAGTAAAATATTACAGCAAAAGAACTTTAGTGCAACTATATCTAACTTTTTCCCCATGCATTTCTAGGCCCTGATGTCTCTCTTTGTTCTGGCCTCCAAGGACGGGTGGGTGGATATCATGTACGATGGCTTAGATGCGGTGGGAGTTGACCAGCAGGTACGTGTTCTAGCAAAAGCTCTGTGAGAAATGAGTTGTCAAAGGTTGCACATTCTGGCTCTTGTTTTGCAAAGTACTGTTGGCTTCCACAGCCAAATGTGGTTATGGGGTTAGGATCGAGGGAGGCATTTAACTCAACTCTTCAGGCATGACAAGGAGTCCAGTGAGAAGCTGGGGTTTAGACCTAGCCTTTTTCATACAGATTTTGCAACACGACTGATGTAACAAGCCTTAGGAGAACTGCACCTATCAAAGAATGGTTTGACTTCTTAAGCAATTTGGGCATTTCAGGAGAAAAGTGCTTTGTGTAGGTACAGGTTTTCAGTGAGGGATTTACAATAACTGCAGAGCTGTCCTGCTGTTGGCAGAACAGAGGTGGTTCCTTTCAAAAGTTCTTTGTGTTTTGCGAACATTCATTTAAAATGTCTTAGAGAGCTTTAATTTCTGTGAAGAGCAGAGCACACCGAGCTGCCTGAAAGGGGCACCCACAGCTTTTGCATGGGCAGCAGCATCAATTTGTTCCCTTCTTGGTTTTTTGAGGTTCACTTGACATTTGCCTTCCTCCACTTTGCAGCCAGTCATGAATTACAATCCATGGATGCTCCTTTACTTCATCTCCTTCCTGCTGATCGTGGCCTTCTTTGTCCTCAACATGTTTGTGGGGGTAGTGGTGGAGAACTTCCACAAGTGTCGGCAGCATCAGGAGGAGGAAGAAGCCAAGAGGCGGGAGGAGAAGAGGCTTCGCCGGCTGGAGAAAAAGAGAAGGAGTAAGGAGAAACAGATGGCTGGTCGGTAGTCTTTCCACATCTTTCTGAGTCCTGCTTGACCTTCCACACAATCCCCTTCTCCCTCCCCTCCCTGCCTCGCATCTGGTGATCATTCCTCTCCCAAAAAGCATGTCCAGCTATAAAATTTGCATGAAGGAAATAGCATCGTTTTAGGCTGAGCAAGGAGCCATGGAGGCCTTTTTAATGGCTGCATGATTTGCAATGACCTTTCCATTGGAGGTTATTTAAATTAAAATATAATAGTAATCAGACCTGGAGCTTCTTGGATAGCAGAGCTCAGTGTTACACAAATAGTGACAATTGCAAAGATCAGCAGTGCTGGATGGCATCATAAATCTTCTGAGTCATGAGCACTGTTGCTTGATAACTGGATTCACTATTTAGTTTATTACAGCCTTGTAATGCCACAGTGATGTTACCTGTCCCATTTATCAAGCCGGTTTATTTATTGGCGCAGTAGCACCACTGCTATTCAAGAGTGTAATAAAATAATGGATCCATCTCATTCTAGTAATGCTTAAAATCTCCTTAGAGAAACATATCAATGCATTTGCTTGAGAAATACAGATCAGAAAAAAAAAAGCTGTTGAGGAGAGTAACTAACTTGACAAAATAGCACTGATGCAAATTGAACCTAACTCCAAAAGCGATGTGCAAGCTGGCAGCCCTGCCTAGAGATGGCTTTAGAGGTGAAAGGAAGTTAGACCTCCGCTCTGCCAACAGTCTCCAACCTGACACTTGTCTCTTAGACTTTTTGTTATTTTATTGTTGGTTGAATAAGTAAGAAACAAGTCAGCCAGAGGCCACAGGTTGGAGGTCCTCTTCTTCTCGCATGCTGTCTTCCGACTGAACTTTCTCCATTGCCCTTTGTGTCCACGGCCTCACACTTTCCCTCCCTGGTCAGTCCGTCTGCTGCTCTCTCCGTGTCCCCTTTCACATCTCTTTTCTATCTTTGACAGACTTCAGTACTGTTTAAGAGGCTGTCTGATCAGGTGCTTGTTCCAAAAGCTGGTAATATTAAGTCTGATTTATTGTTTTTAATAGTCTCAAAGGTGTTTAAATAGCTGTGACAGGCTTAACCATACAACCACATACTACAGCGGTGTCTCAGCCTCTCTCAGTTTAGCACTTACCCAGTACTTCCCTTTGGTCACCTCTTTGAGTCCCGTGGGCTCCACAGCTTTTATAACCAATAGAACGTATCACACCAGCCTCTGGACATCAAACCTCAGTTTATGCCAAGAGCCTGGCTTCCCTGATGGTCAGTGAAAAGCTGGAGGCTTCCCCCTCATGAGCACTGGAGGACATGTTAGACTGTTCTCAGTTAAGTGGGATACAGATGGAAAGAGCTTTTGCTGTTTTTCACATCAGGGAAATGCCTAGAAAGCTCTTTCAGTCAATCCAAGCTCCCAAAAGCAGTTGCAGGATGATGAGTTAGAAAATGTTGTTAAAAGCTGGATAGAAAGATCCGTATTTAAAGTTGCCATTTTGGAAAGCAGGCATTTCTGTAGAAGAGAAATAGATGTTTAGTTATTATTAATGACCTTATTTATAATGATAGGGGAGCTAGATGAAGAAAAGACGTAAGCCGGGGCAATTTCCCAGCGGGAAGGAATCACAAACCATCGTTGGAGATGTAGTTATTCATTCAGTCCTATGAAATGTCTAATTAAAGAGGCAATAAACAGCTATTTTACTGAGGATCAAATATTGCTGAGTATTCAATTGCCATAAAAACCTTTCAAGAGCAAAGTATGAAGCCCTCCAAATCGCTTCAAAACAGTTTTCCTAATTCGCATTCAGTGAAACGTTGGTTTTAATTGACCGTGTCCAGCTTTGCCCTCGGAGGCAACAGATGTCATTGCTTAGCTCTATTCTGCATGGTGGGAACTTGCAGATGATATCAAAACTAGGGCTTTGATTATGCCAGCAACTCCATGGCAGTTCCTTTAGCTGGGCTTCCTGAGTGTCCCCAGACGCCTAAACCAACCTATCAATGTCAGACACAGACATCTAACTGGTTGCACAGTCATTTTTGCTTGTAAATGCTTCAAATGCATTTGAACAGTTGGAAACCAGAAAAGCCTGTGAAATCCCAGCTCACAGGATGTAGGCATATGCAGGAGTGGTTGCTGTAAGGTGCTGGCCCAGCAGGATGTGTATGAAGTCTGTCCTTCAGAGGTGTCTTCTGCTTCATCACCATTAAGTGACGGGGTTCTGAGGTATCTCTTGGGCTTCCACCTGTGTATGTGGGAGAAGCACAAGAGCCCTTTTCCACAATGAGCCCGTGTACTTGAGCCCACCCTTCATGAGGCACTAGGAGAAGGAACCATTCCCATTAGAGGCAACGGAGAGCCTGAGAGCCACAGGGACCTCTGCAGGGGAAGGGAAGTCTTGCCGCGTGTCCTGCCGGGTGATTAACGCCGTTTCGTTCTTTTAGATCTAATGCTGGATGATGTATTAATGGAGAGCTCAGCCAGTGCAGTGCAAGGTACTGGGAAGTCGGCACGTCTCGTCCCACTTGAATGGCAGTGCTGTGTCACTAACGGCTGGCCACCGCTGCTGTGAGGCATCCCACTAAACCGTGTGTGTGGTGCAAAGCTCGTTTGCTTACTTCATGGCACACGCATATCATTCTGAGCTCCGGGTCCGCAGACCTGGCTCAGCACTGACACTTGCAAACCCTTATTTACCCCTTGATCATGTTATGTTCTTCAGTATGATTTTTTTTTCCTGGTTTTCATTAAGTCACTCTTGGACTTTTCATGGCTTTATTTTTGTTCTCTTTTTTTTTTTTTCATTGGTTTTGGTTTTTTTCTTAGAGAATAATGACTGGACTGTGAAATGGGCCCTTTATTGTTTAGCTTCCCAACCACCAACCTAGGAGTCTCTCAATAACTGGCAGGATTGTCTCTGGAAGGCAGGCAGTCTTGCTTAGGAAAGTTATTCCATTATTCTCCAGCCCTTCCTCATTGCTTCGCTTCAGGGAGGCACAGTATTTTGTCAGTAAGGTAAAACTCAGCATAGTGCAGAGCTTCAACCCCACACCATCCCTCAGCATGGGTTGGGGTTCAGCCCTTGTGCTGCCCAGCTTGTAAATTCTTTGTATTGATTGGAAGTCGTTTGATCCATGAGCTATCTTGTGAATTAAAAGAGATAAAGATGCCACATCAAAGCCTTTCCATGTCTTGGTGGGGATGGACCAGCTGGGCTAAACGCTGCTGGGGGCTTGACCTGGTTACCCTGACACACTGCTTGCTCATGTCACCCTTTCCCGTCCCTCCTCGCCAGGACGATGCTCAGAGCTGCAAATCTGCCCCTTTGCTCTTTTTATTTCTAGGAGAATCTTTGATCTGGCAAGCATTTTGTTTAATTCATAACTTATGAATATTAGCCTGAATAATTAAAGAGGTTCCAACACAGAAACAAATATAGCTGTAATTTTCGACAAAAAAAATACACTAGGAAAATTGTGCCATTAAAACTCTCACCTGTGAACAAGCTCCCACTGCTTGACATGGGAGCGGGGCTCCATCCATCTCTCACATATTGCAGGGAGTTTGATTCAATACAAAGGTGAGGGCTATTGGCCTTCACTGCAGAGGGTAACTCGGGGAGACAGAGGTTCCTACCTTGTCTTTCTAAGGCCTTGTTAAACTTTATCACAACATGCTTTGATAAATCCTGAATCTCCTTCCCACTGCCATTCCTGGTATTTTTATCTCTCTGCTTTCAATCTTGCTCTCCTTGGTTGGCCTCCTGTACTCTCCTGCGAAACAGGGCAGCAGGAGGGGATGTGCTGTCACTGGGTTTGGGGTCTGTTTATTTGTTCTATTTATTTGGTTGTGGCTCCTCTCCTGGTCCTACAGAGCCACATCAAGGCTGCCTTATTTTTAAGGCATTGAACTCATTCCAAATTCCGTCATTCTCTCGCGCAGGCTCCGAAACACTTGGAGTTTGCTTTTAAAACCTGGTCAATTGTCAGGTCTGTGCTTTGTGTTTCCTTTTGTTGCCTTTCCTTTGGATCCAGTGGTAGTGAATGTGCCATGCTGCTCTTCAGGCACCGGCATGAGGGAATAGAAAGGTTTTATTTCAGAACCTCACTGTTGGGAATATTAAGGAATCAGTCCCGGGTGCTGTAGATGAACCTCCTGTGGTTCAGTGAGGAATCTGAAGTTGTGACCCCAAAGCTTCCACACATCTCTGCACTTACAGAGGGCTTCTTTTCTCTTTCTGTGAAGATGAGGTGGAGTATTGTGTGTGTGTGCGTGTGTGCTGCTGCCTGGTGCTTAGTGAGATATTATAATTTTATTTTTTCCTTTTTTTCCCCCCAAAGTCTACATTCTATCACAACTGGAATTCTCTCAGTGGAAATAATTTATCATTTTCCATTTTGATTTTATTTTATTGTTATTTTTCAGTAAATCCATTCAGTACAATAAAAGCCAAGCCAAACGCTGTGTTTAAAACAAAAAGTTCCTTCAGTGCAAACTACTTCTTAACCTAATAATATTCTTGATACAGTTTGTAAATCCAGCTGCGTCACGGGCTCATTGCTCACTGGTTTGCTGCTGTTCTCCAGATATACTCAGACCCGAAAAGTAGTTAATTTCCTTGTTATAAGAGAAAGAAGGAACTGGAGGAGACAGTAATGGAATTGTCCCACTCTCGTGAATTCCAATTTCCTGTGCCCACACACCTCCGGTTGAAAGCCACCTCGGGGAAAGTGGCAATTTCTCTCTTGACAGGGCTATATGCAGAGGCTGCTGCTATTCAGAGATATTTTGGAGCTGCACACCCAGCCTGATTCCCCCTAACAAAATACAGTTAATAGGAAGAAAGTGGCCTCAGCCCCATATCCCCTGGTGATGGCAGAGACTGGCCAAGCCCTGAGACCCTCTGGTGATGGCACAACGGGGCAGAAATGATGCCTTTAGTGCTGCTTTGCTGGTCACTGGTGCTACTTCACAGGTCACATCCTGGAGCTGTCAGAAGAAGAGCAGCATGGGGTTAAATGCCCCAAACCTGGGCTGTGATCACTAAACCCAAAGGGCACCTGGCCTGGGAGAAGTTAGAGTAGGATTAGGAATGGGAAATGTTTATTGTGCAACAGCAGTGTCATTGCCTTTCCAAATGGGCAGGAGAGGATGGCAATGAGTTTGAGCACCTCAGGACACAGGCTGAGGCTGCCATGCTCTGCCTCCCAGCCCTGGAAAAGGGGATCAGTTATCCTGCCAAGAGGAGCTCCGAATATGAGCTTGAGTTGAGCTTCAAAATCTCCTTCCTACCTGGGTTAGGAGATTGCACAGGATCCGCTGTCTGAGCTGATCTTCTCCTCTGTAATGGCATCTAGATTTGAGCCACTTCTCTCTCCTGGCCTCCAGCCATGGTGAAGCAGCTTGATTTACACCCTGTTTACCAGCCTAATGTCTCGTAGTGGGCTTTTGCTGTATTTCCCCATCTCCTCATATTCTCATTCTGCCAATTCTTCTTTGTTCATTTGCTCTCCTCCTCTTTTCTTTAATGCCATGTGTGCCGGGAAGCCAAGTTAACCTTTCCAGTAATAACCAAGACTAACCCAGAGCTCTTGTTGTTCTTGACACAGTGTATTGTAACAGTACAGTAATGTGGTGTTGTGTTAGTTGTGGAGTTCACCACCTGGAGTTTAACAGATGTCTGTATTTCCCAAGATGTTGGTATTGTTTAGACCTTTACTGCATTAATTAGAAATTATACTGTGTGATAAGGGGCATGGGATTTGTACCTGGGTCATTCTACATGAGCAATACCCAAATTCTTTGTAAAACTGATTGGGTTAAATACATGGAATTTATACAATAGCAAGAAAGTGATTTATCTGTTCAGAAAGTTCCCTGCCCACCTAGACACAGTAGGTATTTATTGATAGTCCTTGGACAGCATGTGAGCTTGCATGTGGTTCATCTCGTGGTAGTATCTCTATTGCACTAATATGCATGGCTGGCATGCGGAGATGGATGTAGTGAGTGGTGGCAGGATTCATAAGCAGGGTTGACAAATCCTGTCTTAACAAAGATAATGGGGAAGGCTGAAGCATTTACTATTGGTAATTTTCCAAGGCTGCAAAGGCATCTGCAAGAGCAGCGTCCAGAGACATTTGGCTGTGGAAACCTGGGGGAAAGGTTGAAAAGGAGCTTTGGGAGAGGGGGAGAAGCCTTTGCAGCTCTATGGACAATTAGCAGCCCTGCTTATGGGGTCATGCACTGGCTAATCCAGGTGCAGGAGCCCTGCACAGGAGACATTTTATAACCTCTCTCTAAATCCTCTCTCTTTTCTAACAGAGTCGGTGCTATTCTGTAGGATTTGGAATTACCTGCCAATCAAAGCTAAGAAAAAAATCAGAATTCCAGTGTAATTATTCATAAGTAAATCCATTGCAAGAAAAGGCAGAAACATTGACATTTTTCTTTTGAATGTGAATTATACATAAATGCAGAAGTGAGTGATCCAATTACAATGGTGTTTTTTTCCGAGATGATAAGTTGGTTCATAAAAATAGGTCCTATTCCTAACCTAATTGTATTCAAACATTTTAGTTAATTTGCTACTTATAATTCAGCATAATGTGATCGAGATATCTTGACTTTATGGAGATTTATGCATATTCTGAGATACCCAACAAAGTCTTAGGAGTGAGTCAGCAGTTACTAGCCGGCCTTTCTGTAAGCACTTAATAGATTCACATGAAAATCCGTTTTATAGACCTTTTCATCAATACTGTGCATTAGCAGTCATGTACAGATCACCTGAAGCACACTGCAGATCAGAAAGTGAATATTAATTTTGCCTTTCATTTGACAACACTGAGGCAGAAGTTTGGGTGTTCCAAATCCCTACAGAATAAAACTGCTGAATGATTTGTCTCTCTGGTCCCTGGGCTGCAAGGGAAAGGTCTGTCTTTATGGAGGAACCAAACGCTGATTTTTCAGGATCCCGTTATGAAGCAGGGAGCACATGAAACCATTAAACCTATGGGTTTCATTGCGATGTCATTGGCTACTGACAAAGTGAATTCTACTTCCAGGCAAAATTTAACCTTCTAAAATTAGTTTTCCCTGAGGGCAACCCAAACCTCTGCTTCCTGGCTTCATTCTGCCCAACTTTTTTGCTCAGAATCATGTATCAAACTGTACATTTGCTCAGCAGCACTAAATATCAAGCCATGTAATTCTTACAGCTCGATAATTTTCATAACCAGTTGATCATCTAATTATGAGAGTAATATTATACCCTGACATATTCAAGACAGTCCTTTCCACTTCAATCTGCATTATAATGCCGCCTTGAAAATTGTACTGAATTATATACTCAGCCTTGGCATTTCCTCATTAGAGATTAGGTGAGTAAATGAGTTTATCTCTAGGAACATTCGGGGTCTAAAGAGCATGTGTCATCCCTGAGGCAGCCGAATACAGGAATGAGTTGAACAGTGAAATCTGTGCTTTGATAATCTTGTCTAAATGGAGGATCATTATTTTCTAATCGCTAAGGCTGACTGATCAGTTTTCCTTGGTATTTTTATGGACCATTTTTCAGGGCTCTGACAGTGCTGAATTTTATTCTCTCTACAGTTTATTGCAAAGAACATAATATGCCTGAATTACGTCTCTTTCAAAGACCACCACTAACTCAATGGCCTGTACTTTTAGCCATTGTTAGTGAAATCTGTCCCCATCATTAATTGGGCTTTTCAGGTAGATTGGGCACATTTAAGGTCAGCAGAAACAAAAATTGTTGGTTTAGTTTAAATTTCCCTACAGGGAAAACATTCCTTAGCAGCACAATAGTCCCAGCTCACCTCATCCCTGATGCCGTAAGGCTGAGTATAGCGCATGTCCCACTGAAGATGTTTAATGTATGTAAGATGACGGGAGCCCTGCTGTGTATTAAAAATGGTAACATGCCAGCAAGAAAAAAGGAAATGGAAAAGACAGCATGTTGCTGTAATCAGTCTAGAATTTATCATCCTTGGAGTTGGAAAGCGAGGGGGCATTGACTCCAGAAAGACGCAGAGAAATGACTTGACGTGCCTCTCCGCTCTCCTCCTCCCTGCTGCAGAAGCACAGTGTAAGCCCTACTATTCGGATTACTCCCGCTTCCGTCTCCTGATCCACCAGATGTGCACCAGCCATTACCTGGACTTGTTCATCACCGGAGTGATTGGCCTCAATGTGATCACCATGGCCATGGAGCACTACCAGCAACCAAAGGTACTGGCACAGAGATGGGGGGAAGGTCAGGAGGGACATATGGCCAGCCATGGTGGTATCTGCTGATGGGCAGTGCTAAGGCCAGTTTTGCTGTTAGACTTTGGGTCCCCATTCACCATGCTTGACCTGTCCTTTTGTTCCATGGAAGATTTCCATTCTGCAGCTGGCTTCCAGCTCAAACCATGGCTTTCATTACCTGGATCCCATTTCACCTCTCCCTTCTAGTTAAATGCAAATGGACTGCTTTGAAAATGAGGATGGGAGCACGATTGGCTTTCTTAACATGATCCTGATAGAACTCTTTCATTTGATTTAAGTTTTCCAGAAAAAAAAAAAAGGAGAAAAAGGAAAAATAATAGAACTATTTGTTAAATGTTTCTTTTTGCAAAGTTTCTTCTAAATCCCCAATGTCCCATAGAGCCTGGTTTTCACAGGCACTGAATTCCATGGTGGTCTTTAAAAACCAGTTTAACATATTAGTGCACTGTGTTCCTGGGTCTTTGTCATACTCTGAAAATAAAAACAGTCTGTCCTGGTATGTCAAGTCTCTTGTGCATAAGAATGAAATGGAAATAGCTGCCTTTGCCATATAACTTGTACTTTATTAGCCACTTTCAGCGTGAATAACTGTAGCACACAATAGGAAGAAATATTCTTTAAGCCTAGACAGGACTTGAATACTTAATGTAAAAAACAAGTAAGACGGGTAAACGAGGGGAAAAATATCCTGCAGCCTATCTTAAAGAAGCCAAAAAGTGAAAGGGCACAAGCCCAATTTATTTCTTCTGTTCAGGTCACCTTCAAATACTGGAAGGCTCTTTGCATGATTCAGTCATTTGGTGATGAAAAAGGTTGTTGGCCAAGGAGCCTGTCCTGGAACCGCTCTAGGGCGTGCGTCTCACCGCAGTCGTTTTGCAGCTACGTTTTCTCTTGTATTATAAAAATGTTGGGCAGGCTTTTGTTTTTAATTTTCTTCAGGAAAATAACACTTTGTCTCTAAGCCTCTGGTATGCAGCATCTGGGTAACAACTCCAAGCTTGGGCTATGCTCAGTTGACAGCACGGTTAGAGCCATGCACGTGCTTGAGAGTCTTGCTGAATCAGAGCCCTGAAGTCGCTCTGGTCTGGGTGACTGGTGGCTGGGATCTTGCAGATACTTAAACGGCTTAAATGTACCAGGGAGCTTTATATCCAAGCTAATGATTGCATGGCATATTGGTGCTGAAAGGGGTTGGTGGCGGGATACCCTGGGATGCACTGTGGATGATATCCCAGGTGGAATTGCTGCCCATAGGGAAGAGGGACTGCAGTGTGTGTAGAGGTGGTTTGAGCAAAGTTGCTACTGGGCAAAATCTGCTTTGCCAAATGAATTTGCTGGCAGCGCCCAGGTCCCTGCAGTATGGCAGGGAAGCTCATTCAGGGCCATGGCTTCCTCTGGTGGCTGGGCTTGTAATTCTCAGGCAGGTGAGGTGGGTTTTGTCCATGGATGCTTGAAGCTGAACTGTAGCATGAAGGCAAAGTGCATGGCTTAAACCCTTTCTACTCTGGTATGTGGTGCTCGGGGATCAGCAAGTCTTGGATTCGGTCTAAGAGCACTCTGTTGCCACTTCCCAGCTCCCTAACAGTGCCCTGGCCACAGTTATTATCATCCCGTTTGCCAGCAGTGAGAAATTATGTGTGAGGTCACTCAGGATGTTGCTATCACAGTGCTCCTTCACGAGCAGGACTTTAGGGATGAAATCACCTCTGATGTGGCTTAATGTCTGACTGTGCAAGAGTTGTCCCAGCCAGGAGGCACCTGTAGTTAATGGCCAGGCTGTGACCTCTGCAGAAGGAAGAGGAAAACCCAAGGCACTCACTCCTGCTGGCATGCCATCCATCTCTCCTGCTCCTTGCCAAAGCTGAAGGTGAGGAGTGAATGACAGACTATCACAAAGAAGCCATTTGGCCAGAGCTTTCATGGACACAGCCAGCCCATAGCTCTTGCTGCAGTGCACAAATAAGCAAGTGGGATTAAATTCAGCTCTCTTCTGAAAGCACGAGGGTGTTTTGAGCTGCTGACACCTGCAAATGCAGCAGCTCTTAGCACTTACCCAGGTGATCCCAGCTGGGGCTGAGTTACTGCCCTGGGGTTTGAGTTATGCCATGGGTTTGTGTCAGCCTCTCCTGTGAATGATATCAGCTGGGCTGGGGCCAAGCAGAAATGCAGCTTGTGCGCTCCCAGAAGCCCTGGGGCTTTTCCCTGGGACATTTATCATTGGAGAGAGACCACAGTTGGAGCCTTTTCTCTGTCATTTGGAAATGAGTAACTGGTGAAAGCAGGGCAGGTTTGCAGGCAGCAGATGTTAGTGTCTAACCCCGGTCCTGTGTCCACATCCCAGGTTCTTGATGAAGCCCTGAAGATTTGCAATTACATCTTCACCGTTATCTTTGTCCTGGAGTCTGTTTTCAAGCTCATTGCCTTTGGGTTTCGTCGCTTCTTCCAAGACAGGTAACAAAAGCTCTGTCTTCTTCGTGGGGGAAGCATCAGGTTTCTGGAGACAGCTGCCCAGATTTGGTGTCCTGGACACTGATGCTTTTCCTGGTGCTGTCACTGACACGTGTGGATGCTTTGTGGTGTGACTGGCTGAAACCTGGGGAGGTGGAGACTTGAGTTGTGAGTTGGAGAAAGGATCAGGCATGCCAAGAAGTGTAATTGCACCACTTTGGCCCTTAGGAGTGGACAAAATAGGAGTGAGAATCACACCAAGTGGCTGGTTCTCTTCTCACACCGGTTGCATGTCCATATAATTAAGATGACCTTGTGAAGTGACAAAATGTATGCCAAGAGAGAGAAGCTGGTCCTGGCTTATGCAGAGGCAGATGTGAAGCAGCAGATGAAGTCACTTCTTCTAAATGTTCACTCTCTTACCTCACAAATAGATTTTATGTCCTCGGTGAATCTTTCTCCTCCCAATTTTGCCTCCTTCAATGCTAATACCAAGAGAGTTGGCACTGAGCAGGACTTGACATGAGCCCTTCAGCAGAGAGGGCATGGTTCCACCCCTCTCCCCACATTTGGGGTGTCCATGTTGGGATTATGCCTCTCTCTGATCTGGCCCAAATCCTTCAGGTCTTTCCTTCTCCCAGCATGATTTTTGTTGCATGGGCTGGACATGGAGGGGCTGGTTCTTTCTAGGGCTGAGGCCCATGAGTGTCATGTCTAGAAGTAGCCGGAGAGATACCACAGCATCTCCCCTGATGTCTGCAGCCTCAGGGTAGGAAACTGCCAAGCTTTTGTTTCTGCTTCCCCTCAATCAAGAATATCTCTGGAATTGGCTGAGTCTCTAACGAGATGCATTAGTTATAATGATTTCATAACATAACTGCATTTGTATAATACCCTGACAAAAATGCTGCAGATTCATTTGAGTGCTAGAACCATAGAAATGACTGGAATTTGTGTGAAACAAGCTACCTCCCCTTGCCAGCTTCTTGGTAGATGTTAAACTTCATTTTTTGTTGTCTCCAGATGGAACCAATTAGATCTGGCTATTGTGCTGCTGTCTATCATGGGCATCACTTTGGAAGAGATTGAGGTGAACGCTTCTCTACCGATTAACCCCACTATTATCCGAATCATGAGGGTTCTCAGGATTGCCCGAGGTGAGACAAATAAAGTAGAATTGACTTCTGTTTGAGGTGCAGGGAAAGTCAAGCGCTGGGAAAAGCTTCTGGGGCACATCCCCATCACAGTGTGCATACTGCTGGTATCAACAGGCCATAAACAAATAAAACAATGGGGGAAAACACTTGAGAGGAGCCAAAAAACTGAGCCAACTGACCATGTGTTTCTATCTTAAGAGGACTTGAAGGCTGAGAGCTTAGAAATACAAAAGAATTAGCTATGGCTGTAATTCCCAGAGATGAACCTGGAAAAAAATATGTCAGTCAAATCAAAGATGCCTCTAATGGGGATTAGAGAACACAAGCTCAAGTACATTGGCTTTAAAAGACAAGCATCTAATAAATTTGATTTCCTGTGGGACTTTACATCTCACCAGTTGGTGACAAAGCATTCCTCATCACTCTGCATCCATCTGTCCCCTCGGACTTGTAACAACACGTACCTGAGTGGGGAAGCCAGCTTCTGCAGGGCCTGAGTTTTCAGAACAGGATGGGCCAAATGATGAATATGTAAAATGTGAGTGCTCAGGCCCTTAGTAAAATACTCTCAGGCCCTCCTGAAGGGCAGTGTTGTGCTGTAAGGCATAATTGCTCTGATTGCAGCCCTCATCTAAGCAAAGGAACTGGAGGAGAAATGAAATGCTGCTGTTTCTCAAAGTGGGGGAAAAGAGTGGTTTTCAGTGCATTGCATCCCTTTCAGAATTAAAAATACACATGGTTTCCAATTGGAAAGGCAGCCTTCTGGAAGAGATGTGTGGATCGGTGAATCACGTGTGAAAATAGGTAACCTATGGAAGTGGGAAAGTAGTCCAAGGGCTGGGAAAGTAACTGCTCATAATAATTGGAGGAAGAAGATGGGTCCAACACAGATAACGTGGGGAAGGGAAAAGCCAGGGAGAACGGTAACGCTTTCTCCACATCTCAGGCTAGGTGATGTTGCTATTCATGGGGGTTTGATAGTATCCAAGCAACCAGGAGTGATGTAAGAAGGCCAAGGACGATAGCAGCTAATGGAGAACAGTTGACACGATTTCACATTTCTCTTCCTATAATCTGTGGCTCCTGGGAGAGGGAGAGTTTGTGCCTCCGTGCTAACACTGCCGTTACCATATTCCCAACGTGTTTTCTGCAGTGCTGAAGCTGCTGAAGATGGCTGTAGGGATGAGAGCCCTGCTGGACACCGTGATGCAAGCGCTGCCGCAGGTAACCCACTGCCATATCGAACCACATCTCCTCTGGCCAGAGCTAATTTCCTATTGCAGAGGAATGCTAATCATTTTGTCTTTACTGTCATTAGAGAATCACATTTCCCTTCCGAAGCACAATCTGAGATACAATCCTCACATTGAGGTCATTTTTCCCCTGAAGCAATTTAAGTTTTGGATTAAAGAATGCAGCAGGAAACAGGTCTGGAGCAAAAAATCAATGAATGTTCTTTTTTTTCTTTTGTGTTTCCCCCCCGCCCCTGTTTCTTTTTCTCTTTCCAGGTGGGGAATCTGGGTCTTCTCTTCATGTTGTTGTTTTTCATATTTGCAGCTCTTGGAGTGGAGCTGTTTGGAGACCTTGGTGAGTCTTCCTGTGCTGGTGGAAGGGGTGGATGAGGTGTGTGAATGGGAGGTCTCATGGCTGTGCTTGGTCCCACAGAGTGTGATGACACGCATCCCTGCGAGGGGCTGGGACGGCACGCCACGTTCAGGAACTTTGGGATGGCTTTTCTGACCCTCTTCCGAGTATCCACCGGAGACAACTGGAATGGGATAATGAAGGTAAGACACCCAAGGAAAATGAATATTGCCTATAACTGCTTCATTAGAAGCTGACCACTCTGCTCCAGACTGGTACCAATGCCCAACCAGGACAGTCCTGCAATGAGCTGGACTGTCTGTCTATGCATTGGGCAAAGCCTTGAACATTTCTGTCTCAGCCATGCCATGTCTATGATTGCAGGCTCTTAGTATGCTCTGTATATTCCCTTTTTTACCCTGAGAGAGCAACTCAAAAAGAAGGGAAAAAAAGAAAGGGACTTATCTCAAATAGCACAAATTCAGCTCAGTAATATGCATTGGTTTTATTTTTTTACCTTTGTTGGTATTACTTTGGTGTTTTGTTTTTGTTTCTGGGAAAATCCAGGTGTCTGAGAGAGAGTCTTTCTTAGGGAACATCCATAAAGGCATGTTATTATGAAGAAATCTGGTTTATGAGAACTAGGGTGCTAGCTAATCTGCAGGAATCACTTCTCTGTTCATTTCTAGCCTGTGGTATGTGTTAGGTGACCAGACTCTTAATGATGGGGTGTGAACTTGAGGAATGAGTGTCTGCAGCCCCAGCTGCTGTGGGATACTTGGTGGGTTGTAGCTTGGCCCTAGATCTGTCTGCCACACTTGAGTATTTTTTGTCTAACCTGGTAAAACAGCCTTTCCTGTAGTAGCAGGGTATTGATGTCTGTTGTTACATCAAGAACAATTGCATCTGAGCCTGCTTGTGGTGACTAACACAGAAACAAGGTTTTAATGGCATGTGCTTTGCTATTCTAGACATGAAATTTGCCCAATCTTCTCAGTTTCCTTCATGAAGGGAGAACCCATTGCAGCCAGATGACCAGATGCAGATGAGGTCCATGCTGGAACCTCTTCACATACCTCCATCACTTCCCCCTTGTTTCTAGGACACGCTGCGAGACTGTGACCAGGAGTCTACCTGTTACAACACTGTCATTTCACCCATCTACTTCGTCTCCTTCGTGCTGACAGCCCAGTTTGTCCTGGTGAACGTGGTGATTGCTGTGCTTATGAAGCACTTGGAGGAGAGCAACAAGGAGGCAAAGGAGGAGGCAGAACTGGAAGCGGAGCTGGAGATGGAAATGAAGACAATCACTCCTGGCCAGCACAGCCCCTCGGACATCTTCGCATGGACAGGCAGCGCTGGTGGAGAGAGACCTGAGAGCCCCCAAGGCTGTACCAATCCCATGCAAATCAAGGTAGATTCTCAGCTCTCATTAGTTTACCCTATGGTGAGAATCCCAGTTGGAGGGTGAAGAGGGCTTGACCTGCATATCTGCTAGGGGAAGACATGCACGAGTCAGTGGAAGGAGTGAGTGAACTGTATGTCCAGGGCTTGTACTCCTCACTGTCTGCTCAGCTCACTGACCGTTGTGTGGTGTGGGAATTGATGCTCCAGGTCCAGCCCACCTTGACGCATCTGTTCAGAGGTAGAGAGCTTTGCAATTAGTTCTGAAGATGTGCCCAAGCTGCCAAGTTCAGAGCTAGCTTCAAGTTTGCTCTAGTCTAGAGTCTGTGCTAGGTCCTTTGTGATAGCATAAATCACGAGCATAATGTGCTTGCTTTTCTAATGCAGAGTGTGAACCACAACATAAAAGAGGAATAAAACTTGGCTAATCTTTGCTTAAGTGTCAAATTTGTTTTATGTAACCTCAATTTAAAATCCATCCCCACTGTCAAGCTTGTAAGAAAAGATTATTTTAACAATAGAACAATCCAGAAGAGGCTCAGACCTGAGCTCACCAGAACTGGTGGCAAAACTCCCACCAGCAGGAGCAGTGCCGGAGCAGGGCTGTAATGTGGTAGCTGCTACCAGCTGCAGTAAGTCTCTGAAGCACAGTTTCTGGATGAAGACTCAGTTTGAGGAATGAGAGGGGTGAGGTCAAGACCCAGACAGGTCCTTCGGGAGGGAATGGAGCTGGAATTATGCAAGAAAAATGGTCCAGCTTTTTGTTTTAGGCTTAGCTGATTGCAAATCGGGTTAAACTCTACACAGGCTCCATTAGCTTTTATTACATCATGATTTCACAACAGCATGTCTTGGCCTCTGCCTGGGGTGGACTAATGAGTATTCTAATACATGAAAAACTCATTTATACTCTTTAGTCCAAGGGTGGAAAAGAGTAAATCCCTGCTTAAGTTTGTTTCAATTCCTAAGCTACTGGAAATTTCTGGTGCCATTAGGAGTCACTGAAGTCTGAGATGGAGGCCAAAGCTGCTCTTTGCACAGGAAAAAGGAGTTCAGGGCAATATGGGGAAATCCAGATTCACTATGTCCTCTAGGAAGAAACATCATGATCCAGCTGTGGTTGCACATGTTGAGCTGGCAAGCTGTCTTCGGCACTGTTGTCCTGCACACTGTGCGCATACTGGCAAAAAGAGAAATAGCAAAATTGCAAGGCAAATCAGAGGAAAGGATGCTCTCAGCTCTTCAGGCTGTTAAACCTTCCCTCTCTGAAGCAGGCTTTGGAAAGGGTTTATTCCAGTCATATCTCCAGAGTGTGATTCACTCAAAAAAAGAAACCTCAAAAACCTCCAGATTTTATTCTGTTTAATCTCCCAGCCAAAATCTTCAGGACAAATCTGATGCTTGAGCATGAGAGCAGAGGAATACAATTCCCAGGACATGACCCTGCAAGGATATGTGGTCAGCATGCTTCTTTGCTTGCCTATTCCCCAGGACTTTCGCACCTTGTGCTGTTTGACTGTAATGATGGTCCTCATTCCATTGTATGTAGTAGGCATTCCCGACGTAAAAAGTGCAATCCTTAAATTGCTCCCATGCTGCCTGCAAAAGCCAGACCTGCTCTGTATAACCTCCCCTGTCTGTGCTGTTGGCGAGCTGGTTTGAAGTTGGCCAAGACAACTGAGGCACCTCAACCCATGTCTGGCACATGAATTAGTCGCCTGATGTTTGTCCATCCTGATCAGCTGCAGCTTTCATGGAGAGGATGCTCAACTTCTCTTCAAGTCAGGTTATTCTAATTGATGTGTCCTCTGGATATGGATTTAGGTGTCAAGTATTGGGTGCTCTAGCTCAGAAATGTGTACAATGGGTATAGAAACTACAGCAGCAGTGTTTACAGCACCAAGTACCAAGATGCTCCTCTACCAGCCCCTTTGTACGGCTCAGATCAGTAACTGGCCGTGTTTGCAGAGAGCAAGAGCTGTCCCCAGGAGGGTCTGAGAAAGCTGTCACTGCTCACCATGATATTACTGCCCTGTTCTCTCTCCTCTCCTGCCTCACCTCTCCTGTCCTGTTGTTTCTGTTCCTGCTGTTCACCCCTGTCTTTCCCACCCCTCCTCTTATTCCGTTTCTCCCCCTTTTTGTTTGTTGGGTTTTGTACACTGTCCTTTTTCTGTCTCTGTCCCTCGCCTTTTTCCTCTCTTTTTGGCTTGCTCTCTCCTTCTGCATGTTATACACCACCCCTCCTAGGAAAGGCACTTGTTTGATACCATATCACTGCTGATCCAGGGATCTCTGGATGGAGAGCTGAAGCTGATGGACAACCTGTCAGGCTCTGTGTACCATCATTATGCCCTCCCAGCTCCCGAATATTACAACTCTGAGAACCAGGTTAATATTCCTAATTTCCTGCAAAGTTTCCATCCAAACTCGATGTGACTGAGACCTTCAGTAGAGAGTTAATGTTCTTTATGTAATGTAGTCACAGGGATGTTGAAGCATAAGTCATTTTGGCTTTTTCTGTGGGAGTCGAGATAATGTCTTGGTTAATGATGTTGTATATCAATACAAGAGGAAAAGTACAGGCTCAGAGTCTCCCTCTCTGACACAGTAAGAAGTTTTGCATTGGGATTTACTGTTGAGGAGTGTTGTAGGGAAAATATGCAAGATCCTGCCTCCATCCTTCAGTGGGGTTCTTGTATTTGTATCTTGTATCCCAACCAGGGCTTCATAGCAATGGCAGGATATGTCTGCAGAGCCTGAAGTATGGTGTGAGGTTTCCCTAGAGCAGAGCCTAAGCGGGTGGGGAACATAAAATGCTCTTTACATTTTGTGCCTACCTACACTGCATGAAAATCCAGTTTCAAATGATTTTCCTAAAGAGGCTTTTTGCAAGTGGGTCATTGTAAACTAGATCCTCATCTCTGATCTAAACTGACTTTAGAAGGCGACGCAGCCCTTAATGATGTACTTAAGTAATGGTGTGCTCCAATGCTTTTTTGAGCAGTGGCTGTAATGTTTGCTTGAAATTAGTTCATTTACTTCTCAGGATAAAATACCTGCTTTCTCAAGCATGTTATTCTTTAGAGCAAATATTTTCTCTAAATCTCAGCAGTAACCATAATAATAATTCAAACATACCTAGTTTTCCCTGCAGTTGGGGTTGAGCAAATTCCATATTCCTTCATATATATATATTTTTTCCTCCCTTTCTGGCTAAAAATAGCAGGTTTTGTGTTAAATCAGTGTGCTTATTTATCAGCTCACTGACACGAAATTATCCAACTCAGCGGTTCATTAGAGGAAAGGAACAAGCTCAGGTAAAATGAAATCCTCCTGCAGGTATTTATATAGCAGGATAACATGTCTCCCTCTGATTGCTGTGTATCGCTTTGAGGATGGAGGTCTGTTAAGCTGTAGAGGAAGTGGTTGCCTCTAAGAACTGCCAGAGGAATAGGGACAGTAGCTTTGGCAGGGAAGGCAGAGGGTCAGTGCTGAACTCAGTGAGAGCTGTTTGGAGATCTGTTGTTACAACACTTTTCAATGGGAAGTGCTGCTGCAGCAAAAAAAAAGAAGGGTTTGACATTTTTGCAATGAAAAAAACGTAACGTTCCAGTTTGGCTTTTTCTGTCAAAATTTAAGCTTGAGGGTTTTTACCCCCCCCTCCCCCCCCAAATTAAAACCTGTATAAATCAGTTGAACATTCCCAACAAAATGTTTTGACATCTTCAAACTCAATTTTGGGAGTGCGGAGGCTGAAGGGGAATTTGACGTTTTGTTTACATTTTGGCTTTTCCGTTCACACCATTTGTCATGTTCTGAGGCAAGTCAGGAATTTAGAGCAGCGCTGGGACTTGCTGAAAGATACCTGATTAATAGCAGCTCCAGCAGAGCAGCTCCATGAGGCAGGAGCTGTCGGTGTCCACCAGGGTTTAGCACAGCCTCTCCCTGCACGCCTGGGCACCGATTGGTGCCTTCCTATTAGGAATCACTGTCCTTGTGCTGGCAGCTTCTGCAGTGATGCCTTTTTGGGGAGCCTCATGTGAAATCAGGAACTCCTTCAAAGCATTTCTCTTATCCACTGCCAGCAGATGACTGTATTAGAGGAGATATCAAACCAAAGGTTAGATGAGAGGAGCCCGACTCTCTTATCTCAGCTGAAGTTTTGAGCCTCTCAGGGTTCACTCATCACTGGGTTTATTTCACCCTACCAATGCCATTTCTAAGAGTGAGGAAATCCAGCCCTTTGACAACTTCAATGCAACAGATCTGGGCCCCTGTGGTTTCTCTTGGAAGATATATTGTTGTTGAAAGACTTTTCAAGCATAGAGGATAGGGAAAGAAATGCACAGTGAGAAGTGAAAAGGAAGCGCCTGGAACTTGTCCAGATTAGCCACGTCCATAGGATACCTGATGAAATGCCTCCCCAGTACCCTGAGCACCAGCCTTGGACACATACCCAGGGTGGAGATTTGCGGGGGGGCTGAGCCTGCATTTGAGGGCAAACACCCCTTTTTGCAGTGCCTGGCAGCAGGGATGCTGCTCAAGGGGGAGATGCTGCAGTCTCCTTTTTCCCCTCTCTAAAACCCACAAGTGACGTTTCATATTTCCTGTGTAAAGAGCTCTGTGTCTAGGGACAGGGCTTCATCAGCATTTTGATAAAGATTTTTTTAATCAGCTATTTGAAGGCCTTCAGCAGGGATGCATTCATGCAAGACACTTTGGTACAGGGTTTGCTCAGAGCTGGAGGAGGCTGGTGGGGCCAGGACTGGGGTGGCATCTGGGAGGCTGAAAGAGGCAAGCAGTTCTTTTAGTAGGACAGTTATTGGTGCTTACCCAGGCACTGGAGGCTACTTAGCAGACCAAAACCCACTGAAGGCACCAGGAAGGCATTTGCTGACTGAAGTCAAGCTTTAAGTTTCCCCCTGTCCCTGTTTAGCCATTAGGAACTTAATTATGGCCCCATCTGCCTCTTGGGGAGAGGGATGTCTCTATACCCTCCTTAGAGTGCAGGGAAGGGCATGCTCTGTACCCCACCTGCGAAATGATTTTTGGGAATCTTTGTGGACTCAACTGGATTAGCCCAGTAGCCAAGAGAACAGTGCAGTTATTAGGTAGGAACAACTTCAGAGAAGTCCAAAGATCTTGAGGCCTCTTGTATTTGATTATAGCCAAGAGGATAAATCTCTCTAGTATAAAAAGTAAAGTTACTTTTGGTTCTTCATCTAGACAGGAGAACAGCAAAATACAATGCTAGCATTAGTGTATGTTTTTAAACTCCCTCTAGATCATTGGTGAGCATTTAAGTATGAATGTCCCACTCTTCTTTTTTTCATTCCTTTGTTATATTTCATTTCTTTAACGTTCTGTCCCCAGTAACAATGTGCATGATGTAGCTTCTCCCACTGCAGGCTTATTGCTTTATGTCTAGAACTATGTAGATTATGATACCTTTTGTTTTCTTTCTTTTCCAAAAGATTTGTGTCCTGGTTTCTTATGTTTAATCATCTCTCCCTTTAGATCCCTCTAGCTGAGATGGAGGCTCTGTCTCTGACGTCAGATATTCTCTCTGAAAAGTCCTGGTCCTTAGCTCTGACGGATGACTCTTTTCCTGATGATACTAACACACACTTACTTAATGCTCTGGAAAGCAATGTACATACACTGGTCGCTGTATAGTCTGATGTTTACAGGGTTCGAAATACTGCTTCCACCTCTCTACACCTGCCTAATGGCATTTTCCATTCAAGCCCGTTTCCAAATAACACCAACCTTCCCCCTGAACAGGACATTGTCCTTAATGCCATTAGGTCCTGGGTTGTTACTGCTCTTGTCCACAAACTTGGCTCCCTGGGAGGAACAAGTAGTTATTTCTATTTTTCCTTTGGTGTCTTATGTAAAAACACTGTGTTTTGTACAAGTAAAATAAATAGTGAAAAAATGCTTTGGAAAGCATCAAGGTTGAAATTTCCTCCCCATCTGAAACAAATCAGTGATGCTGGGTGGAAGCGACACCCACGAGCTAATGGCTCGTGTCCTCTGCTGAGGGATCATCTCCAACCCTTTGGTTTGTACTGGATTTTTGTCTTTATGAACACAGGCACCACAAGGCTTTTTGTGTGATTGGTGCCAGACTGTTTGTTTTACAAATATCAGATGGGGATCTCTCCGAGATGCTGCTTGTTTTGGGAATTCTTACTAGCAGCCATCAAGTCAAAAAGCCAAAACAATGTTTGGACTCCTCTGTGTCTTTTTGAATGAAATAACCAGTATTTTGAACCCTGCCTTAACCATCTCCTCTTGAAACATTAGACATTTTTAGCTGTGTAGCAGTCAAGTGCTTTTTTTCTGCTGTACAACAGACATAACTCCTTCTCCAACATTTTTGGGTCATTCTTGTTTTCTTTGTTGTTGTTCATGTACTTGCCTTTGGATGTTTGTGTTGTTGATAAATTTCCTACCATCCGAGTCGACTGCCATCCTAATAGCACTTATTTGGGAAACACCTCTTAAACCGTGACAATATTTCCCATCATGCTTCATGGCATCACGTGCCAAAGATTTTGTGAACTATGTTTAACATTTGTATGGGCCTTTTGGCTTCAAAATCAGTTAGTCTGGAGAGCTGAGCTGAGATTAGACAAATCTCTTTGACAGCACAGCAGTCCCAAGGGTATAACTGGGAGAGATGGTTTCTCTCTATAAAATGAAAAGCAAACCCAGGTTGAACAAAGTGTTCTGTGGATTTGTGTCAATACCAACAAAGTCAAAACAGTTTCCCAAACTCCTGAAACGCTGCAAGTTTTCATTGAGATCTTTTCTAAATTTAGCATTTTTACACTTCGTTTAGACACAGCTTTAGTTGAAAACTATCTCAGAATGTTTTGTTTGACTCAAAATAGATTTGGGTTGGGATTTGGGGGGGGTTAATTCGTGGAAAACTCAGATTTGATTTTCAGTCAAGCCAAAACAACGTGTTTTTCAAACCTAGCAGTGAACCAAACAGTCATGTGCTTCCGCTGCTCTGTTTGTGAGCTGGGCTCACAAGACCATTCTGCAGCCATTGGTTTTCATGGAGTTCACTCATGAGATTTCCCTCGAGATCATAACAAAGAGGAAATGAGCCTGCTGTGGTATTGGATCATGTCAATGAACCTAAAGGTTCATTAAAGGTTGGGTTTGGATGAGATCTCGAAGCCAAATACTTGTGTTCAGATCCAAATGGTTTTGAATTGGAAACCTCAGGTTTTGGGCCATCTTCTCTGCTTTAAGCTAAATAATGTGAAAGCTAAATAGCATAAACATGCTGCTCAGAAGAGGAAGGCAGGGAGGAACAGAGACGTTCCCAGAACCCACGTCTCAGCTTTAGCAGCATAGGTTTCTTTCTCCTTCCCTGCGCTGTATCAGGAGACTGCAGTCTCTCTTATCTAGGCTGTATCCAGGCTATATCCAAATCAGCAGGTTCCTGAGGACTGAAACTAATGCTGCATGACAGTGCAGATCCATTTCCTCCACTAAATTTACAACGGTGGTTTTCCTTTATTTTCCTTTTCTTTATTCCTCATTATTTTTTTCCTTTTTGTAATTCCTTTTAATCTCATCATGTTTCTTGTGCAAACAAAAGGCCAGGGTGAAATTTTGTTTTTATGACTGAAGGATAAAACTGGGGGGGGGAAATCTCAGTGATGATTTCAGCGAGCCTGTAATGCACTGAGAGCAGGGAAGATTTGTCAGAAAATAAGATTTAAAGTTCCCCCAAACTGATCAGCAATATACTGTATCAGACTACAGTGTCACATCTTATTTCTGTGTCTTTCAATGGAGACCTTTTAAAGATGAAATAATTCTTTCATTAGAAACACCCAGGGAAGCTGACTTGGCTTCCATTTTTGCTCATACTCTCCAACACAATAACACCCAAGAACATTCCTGGGATGGAGATATTTCCTTACGATATCAGACCCGAATCCACTTCATTCGATACTGCCTCTGGAGTTGCCCATTGTAAGAGGCTCTATGGCTGTAAAAGCTCCACAGCCAACATATATACAATAACCCTTGCTTGCATTAGATCCCCTCTAATTAGAGAATGGCTTTAACCCTGAAGCAGCAGGTTTAGATATCCCTTTCAATAAAATGGGTTTAGTTATTCATTATGTGAGAAGGAAAACCAATAAAACTGTGCTGGAAGCCAGACTAGAGAGTATTTTCTGTAAACTGGTTCCTGCATTTGGTTTTGTTTTCTTTTCTCTTATTGTTAAAAGAGGAAACTCCTCACCTTTGCAAAAGTCTGACTTGCTGATGAGGGCACATAGAAAGATCTTTACTTTTATTGCAGAGGATCAAAGTTATGCAAAGCATGTGACCTTTGCTGGCCTTGAGGCATGATGCCTTCATTGCATACCCCTGAAATAGTCATGGTTTATTACTACAGTGCTGCTTCCTCTGTTTTTGTGGTTCATTCTGTGTGACAATTTATTGACAATACAAAATGAGGGGTAGAGCTTCCTGGTAGATCCATTCGTGCAACCTGTACATACTGACGATGTGCATGCCCATCGTGCCATACTGATTGCAATGGCTGTTGCTAGCGTTTCTGGGCACTTCTCCTCTTCCCATCCCATCACGTCTTCCTTCCTCACTGTGCCTTTCCCCATAGGCTGATCTCCGCTCCAAAGACGACACGCTGACCCTGTCTCCCAGCAAGGACCTGCTGAGTGTGAGGAAGCCTTCGGTGGGGCGCACACACTCTTTGCCAAATGACAGCTACATGTTCCAGCAGCCGTACTCCAGCCCCTGCCCTGCTTCCCTGGCTGAGAGGAACCCGGCACACCACAAGTCCCAATCAGGTATGTGTCTGCCAGCTGGGACAGGAGCAGGATTTTCCGATACAAAGCACTAGCTGGGATTTTCCAAGCTATTCAGTAGGAGGCAGCAAATTGCCATTGGCTGTTGGCCATTGCCATCAGTTTCCAAGGAGCTGTTGGTGTCCAGATCTGTGGAATGGGTTTGCAAAGACCCTCCACAACTTGCAGAGTCCAGTTTGTTCAAGATAACTCCTTTCCTCTGACCTTTTTATTTGCTAATGTGACAGTGAGCAGTTGCCCTGGCTCGATGCTGATCATCCCCCTGCCCGGTCCCCTGAAGGTTAAAGTCCTTACAGCCTGGGCTCCATCCATCTCAGCAGAGCTAGCTATGGCCCCAGAGCAGAAGTACCAGCAGAGAGATGTTTCCTCATGTCAGTTGTTTTTTGCAGCAGTACCTATTCTTGCAGGTTTTGAAAGTTCTATATGGGAACATCTGTGAAATATGGGAAAATGGTGTCTCTAAATGCCTGCAAAATGAACATAAATGTGCTGAATTGAGAGAGATCTCAGTGTGAGATGAATGGAAAATAAGAGTGCAGAATTGTCCTTCCCAGTGTGCGTGGCTGAGATATACACTTTACAGCTAAATTTGGAGGTATTCTTAGATGCAGTGTACTGCAGATACCAAGGGCTCACTCTCTACGTGCACCTCTGTACCTGTACTTGCAGGTGCCTCCTAGTGCTTATCAATGTGTTTTCATTTACTCTAATTCCTAGGGGTTACCTTCTGCTGGTAAATGAATGGAGCTGTCTTTAATTCTTCTGTACACACCATCATTTTAGACATTTGTCACAGATAAGACAGAGGAGTTTTTACAAGTATTGCCATTTGAAAGCCTCTAAAGCAGAACATAATTTCAGCACTGTTCGGAATGGGAGGAGATTTGAATAGATTAGAAATAAGATGTTGGCATTTGCATAGTAATAAGAATCTGGATGAATAGCGACTGTTGAACAGCAGCAAAAATGCGGACACAGTGGAGGAAGATGAATTTGGAGTTGTGAGAAATCACTGCCATAACACGGGATTTTCAAGGTCAACAGCTGTCCTTTCAAGAACCTGTTTGCCCATAATGCAAACAGTGCTGCTAAAAGCCTGTCAAATCCCACTGAGCCAATAGCAAGGCTCCCATTGCCTTCAGTGGAGCCAGAATTCATGGTTCTCTGTAACAGCTGAGAAATTCCTCATAGTCATAATCCCAGAGAATCCCAAAAGAATCCTGTTTGTTACAGAGGGAGTTTCCAGGGCTTCGTTTTTGACCCTTAATTCAGATGCATTTATTCTGCCTTCAACAAAAACATCAACTTGACCAAAATGGGTAATTTCTGAGTCCCTTCTTTCTTCAAGATGAACAGCCCCTTCTGGCAGCCCTAGCCTGGGGAGAGCAGGCATTCCACCCTTATAAACCCACAGGAAAAACCATTCCACTGGGACGCAGGGGAAGTATTTTGGAAAGGTGATGTCTTGTTCATAACCACATTGCGCAATTAAACCTTTTGCCTTTTTCTCCTGCTGCTGAATTTCCAATCATCTTAAGCAGGCCAAGGTGCTCAGAGATGTGTAAGGTGCCCAAATCTTGGCGTACGCATCTTTGTCCTGTTCCACCTCCAATGTCACTGCTTTTCAGGGTGGCGGAAGTCACCCCTGCCTGTTTACAGTTTGTAATATTATAAAGTGCTGTGAAGATAGCAAGAGGTGCCAGGTGCCTCTGATAAATCACCCTCGTCACCCAACTAAGCCATCATATTTCAAGCTGAGAAAGGTTTTGTTGTCAGAAACACTGGCACTTGCAGCAGATATTTGTTTGAATACTCCTTCGTTATGGGGCTGTTGTTCTGGGAAGGATTCCAGGACAAATGAGATTCTCTGGGATGCGGTCCAGGTTAAATGAATTGTTTTGAGAAACATTGAGCCTGTTTTGTGGGGGGGGAGCATGCCGAGTTTCAAACCTTTTAGAAGAAGTAGCCAGCAACCACAAAGGGTCAGGAAGAGGCTAGGGAGTATGTGTTTCCTTCTCTTGGGATGCTTTGGAAAACCAGCCTTGAAAGCTGCCAGGTGCCATTCCCTTTTTGCTTCATATCCAGTGTGTGCACTGGTTTTGAGATCGCAGCAGTTGGTCTCAAACACTCAGGTATGGAGACGTCCTTTTCTGGAGTCTTTCAAAGTCAGATCCTTGTGGTGCTGAGATGTGTGGATGCCTTCAAAGTTATTGGCCCTAAAACAGGGATGTAGAACTTGCCTGTCAGGATGAACTTCTAGTTCCTAATCTTCTGTTCTCAACAGGAGCTAGTCCCAGTTGTATCAGGGGAGAATGCCAAGAAAAATGAAATAATAGACACTTTTGGAATAATTTATTAGTAAGTGAGAGCTTTTTCCCAATCATGGAGAGCCAGTTGCTGAATTCAGTGGTTTTACCATGCCTGTCTGGTCCAAGGTGCAATAGAACAGTGTTTTGCGGAAGGTCATTGAGATTAGGACACATCCCCAGAGGGTCATCACGTTTCTGTCTCTTCTCCCTCTTGCAAGGTTCCAAGGCATCGGTGCAGTCACAGCCAGCGGACACCAGCTCTCTCCTGCAAATTCCAAAAGACCATTTTCACTACATGAGAGCTCATGACTATTTGGTGAGGGAGAGCAAGCCCCATGTTTCCCAGCAGGTTCACTCTCCTTCTGCTGAAAGGCTGCTCCGCAGACAGGTAAGCAGACTTAAGATCATGAGCACGCAGAGGTTTTCTATTGTTGCATTTCCAGGTTAACCATGCTTTAAATTCAAGGAGGGATTCACAGAGAAACCTCGGGAGAACTGTAATTCTCCTACAGAAATAACTAAAAGGTTGATGGAGTTTGATCTGAAAGCCATCCAGGAGTCTCCAAAGAACGTGCATGATGAGTATCATCTCCTTTGGCAACGTGCCTAAATGTTCTCCACATTGCTAGCGCTTGGTTTTCTTTTTCTTTCAGTCCTCTTCATAAATGCAGCCAAATGCTCCCCAGGGGCTCGTTGGGGTTAAGGAACTAATTCTTGACTGCTGTGATTTTCTCAGTGCTTGAAAGGACCCAGGGATTGCAAACTCCATCCCAGGTCTCCCTCCCTCTGACACCTCTGGTTTCTCGAAGGGGGAAAACTCTAAAGGAAGCAGGATGTCTCCTATGAAAAGCCATCATGGAAAGCATGATTTTTATAGTGAGAATTGAATATTTTCAATCTCCTGTGTGCTTTTGAAAAGTTTGAGTATGCACAGAACAGAACGTATTTTATTTTGCAAGTGGTTTTATCTCTGGTTTTTGCCTGGCATTGATTTAAATTCTGATTCAACTGAAGATCTAAGAGATCCAATCAAAGATTCCAGTCTGGTTGATTGGAAGCATAAGTTTAAATTTATCTTTTATAGTAAAATACTTCAAGTTCTGTGCTTCACTCTCCCATTTTTGAGCATACTTCCTTGTGCGGCTGGATCAGGACCAGAGGCACGTCTGATTCCCAAACTCTGCTTTCTTCAGTAGTTTTATGCCTGATTTTATATACACAAAATAGATCGGTTCTACTTTTTTCCAAAGCGATTTCTTACCTGCATGAAATATTCCCATTTCTTTAATCTTTTAATCAACATTGACAAATGAGACAGTTGATCCATTAAGCTCTAAAAAATGAGTGTGAAGTACCAAGGTTAACAATTACATTAGTCTGTAATACTAAGCTGACGTAAGAAATTCCTAGCATGTATTCCTTCGCACAGGGCTGGGCAGCTACCCCAATCACTGCTAATGGGGAAACTAATTGATGTCATGATTCAAGTTCATAACTGTGCTCTCTTGCTTTCTAATGAATAACAGGCCCTTCCTTTTGAACAGATCTATCTATAATAAATTACCCAGTTAGCCATCTTCCTCAGCCTAATTTTGTTCATATCTTTGAAGGCTGCTTCTTCTCAGCCTTTTCATGTATATGTTAATTTATTCCCCTTCCGCCCCTCTCTGCTCGTGCAGTGACATGAGCATGCTCTTGGAATCAGATTTCAGAGAGTAAAAAGCTCTAGGGCAGTGAGCAGATATGGTCCACAGGCCAGACAGGTCCCTCTGAAGGTTAGTCAGGTGTTGCCTTGGGCACGCTCCCAGGTAGCAGGGAGCTCCTACAGTGGCTAATGGGAGCATTAAGGTTGTTCCTGGTAACACAGCAGTATTGCTGTTACTGTTAATTGCAGTCTAGATGGCCAGACACTGTGAAACTTAGTCCTTGAAGAAGCAAAATTCCCTTCACTTCTGCCTCCTCAAGTGCTCTCTGCTTGGCTCCTTTTATTGCCACCACTAATTTGTTACTAGCACATCATAATGGCTCAAGCTAGCAAAGCATTTTGGTTTGCAGTACCCCTTTTTCCTTATTGTTACATATATTGCATGTAATTCTGGTTTCTTTTCTTTCTTTTCTTTCTTTCCTTTCCCCTTCACCCCCTCTCTCCTTTCCTAAATCTGTGTATAGATAAATCTTATTCACCACATACCTGGTCCGTGCACTTTCCTCCATCATTAAAACCTGTGTGCTTGACCTCCCTTTCCCTCCAGAGTGCTGGAGAGTGAACAACATCCCCACAGTAATGTGCAGTTTAGACTCCGGAATGTTTGACAATTAGTGATGCACTCACAGATGAAGATGAGGGGATTGGATGCTCTGAGAGAACAGCCCCTGCTGAGGAACACGCTCCTTGGCAGTGCATTGCACAAAAGCTTTTTCTCCAAGGGAATGCTACCTGAAATTGAAACGATATTGATTTTCTGGTTCCAGGACTGTGTATCCAAGGTGTAGTCCACTCCAAGCTGTGGCTACTACAGGTGTACACCCCAATGGGATGGCAGAGGGTCCTTTTATTTTGAAACAAACCAGTAAAACATTTGTACAAACAGTTACTCCTAACAGCTACCAAAGATGCTGGTATTGTAGGGAAAGAAAGAGCTGGTGGTGACTAACACTGTCGTTCTGTGCAACACAGGTTGGTGTAGAAGCAAAAGTAATGGCAATAGTTACTTTTTGCTTCTGTATTCTACTTTTTTTGTGTGGTCTGTGTCTCTTCTTAGGACGTGAACATGATTTCCTCTTGCAAACACTCACCATAAAACTATTGGCATTGAGGAGACCAGAATTAGCTCCACTCGTGACTGTGGTTAGTTGCCAGGATTATGCTCTAAAATTCTAACTGGAAAGGATTCACCAGCATTGGACAAACTGGTTTGCCATATTAAATATTCTCAGTGATGGCAAAGGGAGCCCAATGTGTGGATACAGCAATAGACTCGTGATTCTGCACACACACACGTGCGTACTGCAGCTGATGAGAGCTTTGCCTCAATAGAGATCATTTGGCTCAAACGATCCTTGCGGGACAATTTTTAGCCAAATTCTAAGATCATTTTGGGGAGATTTGTCACAAAAGTGTTCCTCAGCGTGAGGAATTCCATCTCCTTCCACTTTGGTAAAAACTGAGACCAGCTGCACACATTTGCTCATTTCTCTGGGAAGTTTTTAATCTTTAAGATCATTTAAGAGTCTTCTCAAACTGAGACTCTGCCTTTTAGGGCCAGTTAATGAGGTTGATTTATAAACCCTTTTAACAAGGGATGCAGTGCAGTGAAGACAAAGCCTTCAAAATTAGCCATAGGCTCTCTCTGCCAGCAGGCACTGATGCTGCATATGGCTCAGGACAGCCAAGGCAAAATGTGCCTTAGGAAGCCTGAACTTAAGCATCAGAATAAGCTGTTATAATTAGAGGTTATTATTATTATTATTAGTCCAGCTTTGGATTCCATCTTTTCCAGCTCCCCTGCTGTTAAAATGGTGCAGAGTTGTGGCTCCAGCCTGGGGACCAAAGCCAGGGACAGGCTGTTGCTCTGATGCTGGCACAGAGCCTGGTTGCTCTGGCATTGCTGGCCCTAGGGATCCTGCTCCATGCCCTCAGCATCACCTGAGCTAGAGAAGGGAATACACAGGCTCACCTGCACATCTCCCCTCTCCTGCTCATACTTGGGCTGCTGAAATTGTAAAGAGCTTTGCTGTAGACCCTCATCCTTTGCATAACAAGAACAGGTCTCAGTTCGGGTGCAGGCATTCTGGTTTTGCAGCCCCCCGTCCTTAGAGGAGAAAACTAAAGGTCAACCATTTATGAAGACTGAAGGGCCAAATTCTGCTGTTGCTTACACAGGGATAAACACACAGACCTCTGATGCATGGGAATTGCTAGAAGCTATAATTCAGGTCATTATAGGAGTCAGTGGGTGTGTGCTGAGGTATCTCAACACGGTTGAGTGCCCTATAAATGCTGTGCCTTGCTTGCTACTAACCTATGTTTGATCTGTCTCTCTCATCTGACAACACCCTTCCTCCCCAATCCCTTTGCGCTCCGATACAGATGGCTATCCGGAACGACTCATTGGACAGCAAGGAAAATCTCCACACTGAGGTGAGTGAACTCTCTGACCCAAATGTCCCCGCTGTGCCCAAGGAGGAGTCATCAGTGGCTCTGACGCCCTCAGAAGCGAATGAGGCGGCTGCATGGAGCCGGGCAAGCGTCCGTACGCAGCAGCATTCCCACAATCAGTATAATATTTCAAAGCAGGCACCAGCATCGTGTGCTGCTTGTGCAGACTCGTGTCAGGAGACACCTGGAGATTCAATGGACCAAGAAGTGTCTGAAATAAACAGTTCCTCGGAGCCTTCAGAAACTTGTACAGCCTCGAGTGCCTGTTCAGAGGTTCAGCCTCTCACTCCTAAGAGGAACATAGGCAATACCGGCAACGTGACATTGAAGGACCTGAAGAAGTACCACAGTGTAGACACCCAGGGTCTTCTCAAAAAACCACCCTCTTGGTTGGATGATCAAAGGAGACATTCAATCGAAATTTGTTCGATGGAAAACAGCCCCCAGCACCATTCCACTTCTAGCTCTTCTGGCTTCATAAGTCAGGTGGTAAGTGAAATGGAAGGCTTGCAAGGGACACGGCAGAAGAAAAAACTGAGCCCTCCATGTATATCTATAGATCCACCCGATGGACAGAGTTTGCTACCTAGAGGACCTCACAGCATCTCACCTGCCAGTGGAGACGTTTGCTTGAGACGGCGTGCTCCATCTTGTGAGTCCAAGGATTCCATGGATATAGGGGATTCGTTGCTTCCAGACAGTATGTCAACATCTCCTACCCCAAAGAAAGACTTGTTGACACTTCCTAGCTTTTCCTTTGATCAGACGGAAACGGACCCCTGAGTTACTTTTCTGTTGGTGCCAAATGTTTTCCTCCTTTCATGTAATAGAAAAAGAAGAACCTAAAGAAACTCTGTATTCCAAAATGGCACTGGGTAACAAATTTCCAAAGAAAGATTAAAGAACCAGCTGGTTAAAGAAGTGGTTAACCTATATCACGCTTACTTAAGCATATGTTCTGCTTAGGTAAAAGCAATACAATGTGCAGAATCTATATGTATATTATATTTTATTAAATTAATTGAATCTAGTATTGCGGGATGTAGTACATTTTGTGACTAAAGACTCATTTAATTTTCTTCTATTTTATGTATCTCAGAATATTTCTGAGATAAAGTTGATTTTTATGAGTATTTTAACCTAAACAAAAAAAAAATATATTTAATCCCTTCTCTTTTTTTTTGTTTTGTTTTGTTTGGGTTTCGTTTTGTTTTGCAAAGCACAAAATGTAGCAAATTAGTGCATTACAGAGGAAATGTATCCCACAGTCAGCAGTAAATAAGGATTATTTAATGTAATTTATTTTTCCCCTTGGACTTCAATGGTATTCTGGGGAGATGATTTTTTGGATAGTGTAGAAATGCAGTGGCAATTTTTTAACAGAAAAAAAATTCCAGTCTTGCATAAAATGAACATCCAGTATGAAAGCAAATGCATGAACCCAGGAAGGTCCAACATGCGGATATATGCCTGAAGACGGTGAATGTAGAGCCATTTAACCGTACACCATACTGAGTCACTAAAGGATATTGTAGATCATGACTCACAAACGATGTCAATGGCTAATTTCCATACCTTCCCAGGAAATTGAGGCAGCAGAAGCCTGTGGTCGCTCCTGAGGTGTTTTTCCACTGTTTCCAAGACAGGCTATTCCTTTTGCTGAGTTTTACACCTCTATAAACCCAGTTTGCAGTGGAGCTCCTCCTTTCCATGCCCATGAGGAAAGGAGGGTAAGCCGTATTTAAGATCTGGTGGGTGAATTCAGTGCAGACATGACACAACAGTGGGCATAAGCACATGTTTAAAGTTAAGCTCTTGCTTAAACTGCCTTGAGGTTGGTTCATATTTAAGTAGTTCTTGAAAATTAATATCATATGCTTCTGTGTTCAACAGATTTGAGGCCTACTGCAAGTTATTTTACAGATTATGTGTAAAAAGGTCTGTAGGTACTGAAATAATGGTTGATTTTCAGTTAAAAAGTCCCTTTTTTTGCTGTCACTGCTAGAGTTAATTTACATGACCCTGACTGTAATATTATTTCCAATCTATCAAAAGCCTTAAGCAGCGACATCATGATACAAAGTAGATAAAACCAGAACTCATGTCCTTAATTTATAACATGTCCTTCATGTCATTCATCTCAGAAATTAACTGTTTACTTCCCTGCTAATCTCCTTTGCAAAAAGCAATCTGTAAAACTGGACAGCACAGCTTGAAAACCATGAGAGGTTGGCCCGGTTCAACACCTCCCGCTCTTCACTGATGGAAAACCAGGCATTAATTCACTCAACTTCCATGAAATCACATTCAGATGTAGGTTAAATAAGACTGCAGGCATGCTTTGAAGTGTGCGAATAGTCACAAGTTTCAAACTGAGTACATGGATAAGGCTTTGCTGGATCATGTCTTTAAACCAGCACAGGCAAGAGGAGGATTTGTGCTAATTCTGTCAGTTGGGAGTTTGTAACTTTTGGAGAACTACTGATCTTTTCAAATCACCACAACAGTCAGAGATTAGACTGTTACGACTACATCTGTCTGCATTAGCTTCGAGTATCCACGCAAGAAGAAGATGCTGTTCTACCTAACAGCCTATGTGAGGTCTTAAGCTCCTTTATTTCCACTTGCAGACGTTTATTCCATAAACAATCCCTATTGATTTAGATGTCCTGGAGAAATGTAAGGGCTTTCAGCAGGAAGTCAGGCAATTGGTGTATTTGAGGTAGGAGGATTAGCATTCTGTACTATTTACTGCACTTAGATTAATTCTTGGCTGGGACATTTTCCCCTCTTCAACACAGGCCCACACGGAGACCGCTCTCTTTGATATGCCAGTCCAAATCCAGAGTTAAGCCTGTTCAAAGCAATGATTTCAAACAAACCTTTCATCATTTCTTCGCCCAGATCATATTTAAGGAAATAATAAAATTACAGTGTATTAAGCCTGAGAAATATTCTTAATCCCTCTTTGGTTTTACCCTCATAATGAGCCTTAGCTTTCCTTTCACATGTACTAAATAATTTGGGAAAATAGCTAGGCCACTAAAATTGCCAACCGTGGCTCCTTAATGATTAGGATTGTGTTTGTATAGCTGGAATGACACTACTTGTACCGTTTCCTTCCTTACCAAAAACCCCATGGAACATTTTAGCTTGAAATCATGGCACAAAACAGTGACGTTAATCCAAATGCTCAACTCAAATGTAACAGAAAGCCTGAAGGCTCTTCTATTTCTGATACCTGAGTTTTTGCCCACTGACAAGGTTTGTGGAAGTAACCAGAAGTTTACATCACACATGACTATTCAGTAAAGATGAGCCAGTAAAAAACTGCTCTAAGATGATGCATTCAGGAAAAGAAATCCATGTAAAATAGTTTGTTTTCTAAACCTTACAAGTTTTTTCTAGATGCCCTTTTGAAAGACAAATACAAATGTACTGCAGCGTGTGCAATAATAATCTTAAGCTAATTTTAAATACCTTTTGGGGGGGTTTTATAGAATTTGACTTTTTTTAAGCAAAATGTACAAAATCCACCGGAATTCTGTAGAATGGTTATGTTGATAGAACTTTTTATATTTTTGTAGAAATCTATAGAGAAATTGTTAAAAGTCTGCATAGCATCTTGGGAACAGAAGCAGCTCTTATCTGCAAGTTTCTTTACATAAACCTGGCGCCAAACCTACTGTATTACAGCGTGTATAGCCTAGTGTATAGCATCCAGGTCGCATTTAGAAGTAAGCAGCTAAGCTCAAGCTCTATGATATTGCAGTGCTATTACTGTTGGAGAACTGTACCCATATAAAACATCCACCCCCAAAACTCAGCCCCTATCGATGGTAAAGTAGTCGCATGGCTATCCAATTCATTCAAGCACACCAGCACTTTATTACTGTGGATTTACTGTATACAGGTGGGAGGAGGATATTCTGCTATTGCCAGTCTGACATATAGGGGAAAAGAGATTGCAGACGTGTCTGGAAAGATGGGAATTCCATTCTTGCAGCCCCTGGCACACAGAACTGATTTTTCATAGCTTGGTTACAGGACATTTATACTGTAGATATTTTGGAGGAGGGCAAGGAAAACACTGTTTTTGACTTCTGTGGATTGCACTCAGCACAAGGTGTATTCGAGGAGAAAAGAAAATGAAAACAAAAGCATTACCATTGTAAATTAGGCTATGCCCCAGGCTCCCCTTTTCTGCCCCTTTGGCTATAATAACCCATGTACACTATAACACAAGGTGACTAGAGTAGGCACAGTACCATTGCAATGTCCGTAACAACCTAGTATATATGATAGAACTTTGTATTTAATAGTTAATATATTGTTATACTGTATCAGGTATATAGGCCAAAACGAGGTCTTTTGGTCAGGGCAACAAAAGGTGGTATTCATGGGGAAAATTGGGTTAAAATGTTCCTTTTTCAAAAAAAAAAAAAAAAAAAGAGGGAAAAAAAAAACAAAAAATGAGTGTAAATCTTTACAAATGACAAAAACAAATGTGTCCTATTAAAAGCTTTTGAAAAGAAAACAACCGTGCACTTCCCTTTGTTGCTGTTGATGATGATAATCTGTATCATTCAGAGCGGTCACATCCCCGGTCATGTTTTAATTGCGAACAGTTGGGGTAGGTATTGTATAGCAGCGGCGGACGGGAAGTTGAAAGGAAGATTGTGAAACGCCGGCCCTTTGTGAAGCAATTTGGTTTGACACCGCAAGGGAGTCTGGCCCAGGATGTGCTGTTTTACCAGCAAGACCATCAGCTCTGTGTCTGCATGTTGTATTGCACTGGCAAAGGACGGCTTGGCAAGCTGCTTAACAAGGCTGCAGAGGTCCAGAGGAGATGGAGTCAGGGGAAGGGGCACGTTTGATCTGTCCATGAACACGTTGCTGTGAAGAGGAGAATGCTGGGCTTTTCCACACATTCACAGCTTCAGGATTTCCAGCCCGAAGCACAGCAGCTTCTTCTCCACCACTTCTGCAGGCGTTTAGTTCCTTGTAAAGCAGGAGTTGGTGAGGATGGCACTGCTCCAGGAGCTGCAGACTGTGTGTGCCAAGGCAGTGTGGGTGAGGAGCCCAGATGCTGCTTAGGTGCCACCTGAAACATTCCATAGAATGGGTTGGGTTTGAAGGGACCTTAAAGCTCATCCCGTTCCAACCCCTGCCATGGGCAGGATCACCTTCCACTGGAGCAGCTTGCTCCAAGCCCCTGTGTCCAACCTGGCCTTGAACACTGCCAGGGATGGGGCAGCCACAGCTTCTCTGGGCACCCTGTGCCAGCGCCTCAGCACCCTCTTCAGTGGTCTTTAGTGGATAAGGTTTCCTAATGTGGAGTGTCTTCTCCCCTGGGGAGCAGCCATTGGAGGGAGTTGGGCTCTCTGCAGCCTTGTTTCTCACTTCGTACTGAATGACCTGATGATTGCTCTGCAGCAGGAGGACCCCTAACCTGACATCCAGAGCTGCTGTTTGGAGGGTGCTTTGATAAAGGCCTTGTCATAATCATTTCTGGGTACAAAACAGCAGGAACATAGTTAGCTCTTAAATAGGGAGAAAATGTGGCTCTATGCAAAATCCCATGCAAATCCTCACAGTGCAGGACTCCAGGGGTGTGCTCTGTAACATATCTGTGCTATCTGGGCTGCAGGGTCAACTAACCCCACCAGGCTGCAACCACTGCATTGCCTTCTCACCCCTCCAAGGCTGGACGATCCACATGTCATTAAGACAAGCTGAGCCAAGAAAGCAGAGCAATTCACAGCTTTAAGCACTTCACACCTCTCTGCACACAGAATTGTTTAACCTGTGCTCTCTATCAGGAATGTCAAATCCCGTTATTGCCAGTGCTGTGTTTCGCAGGACCTTGTTTCTTTGCTCTCTGTTGTAAGTGTTCCTGTTTGAAGCTCTTGTGCTGTGGTTTGTACAAGGATCCCACCCAGGCTGGATGCTTGCGGGTATGCTCTCAAATTGCCAGAGCCTGGGCATGGCACTTTGTTACTCCGGTAAGTAATTTGGAAGCTGCATGAAACTGGGTTGTTTTCTATGCAATTACAGCTGCAACGAGGGAAATAGCCCCTCAGATTTAATCTGTTTCTGGCTTAGTTGAGACATTCGGGTGAATTTGGCTAACTGTCCTGCTTCTGGAGAGCAGTGTCCCATCTGCAAAGCCGTGTGCACAGCGCATCCCTCATCTGGAGCTCTGCAAAACCCTGCAAGGAGCTGCATGAAAGCAAACTGGAAAGGCCTGTTTGTGCCTCTTGTATTGTGGATGTTCCAAAAGTACAAACAGACCCACCAACAAGGCTCAGATGCGACCTGTGCTAGAATCCTCCCTAAAATAAGGTAGGAAAAGGCAATTTAAAGCAATGCACCTGACTCCCTCCTCCTCCCTTCTAGGGGGTGAAGAGCCCGCAGGTTAAGGGGTTAAAGCCAGTGAAGTCTGGAGGGACAGAGGCTTGAACTGACCGCTCTGGGGTGGGCAGCCCACGGCCAGGGTTGGGTGCGCCCGTCCGCGGCGCTGTGCTACCATCTAGTGGGCTGGGGTAAGGAGCGGGTTTGGGACATCCCGTTACCGGGAGCGCGATTCCCGGCTCCAGGGAAGGGGCGAGAAGGATCCTGCAGAAGAGAGAGAGGAAAAAGCGAGGCTTTTGCTTCTCCTGGGATTTTCAGCCGCTGAGTTTATATCATGGAATCACAGAATCCCAGCTTGGAAGGGACCTCGAGGATCTTCTGGTCCAACCTTTCTAGGCACAGCATGACCTAAATTAGATGTCCCAGCACCCTGCCCAGCCGAATCCTGAAAGTGTGCAGGGCTGGGGAGCCCATCACTTCCCTGGGGAGATTATTCCAAGGGCTGGTTGTTTCCATTGGGAAAAACATTCCTTTTGCCTCCAGCTGGAATCTCCCCAGGTGTGCTCATCACCCCTCGTCTTTTCCATGTGACTCCTTGAAAAAAGGAGTCTCCATCTTTTATTGTAGTCGCTCTTTAAATAATGAAACATGGTGATAAAGTCTCCTTGAACCTTCTTTTCTCTAGGCTGAGCAAACCCAGTTCTATCTGCCTTTCCTCACATAGCTTACCAATCCTTGGATCATCTTTGTGTCCCTTCTCTGGACCTTTTCCATCTTGTCTGCATATTGTATATTAAATATACGATATGAGTATATATATTATATATGCACAATAGGGATGAAGACTGAACCCTGTATTCCAGATATGACCCCAAAAGCACTGAGTGGGACAACGACATCTTTATCTCTTCTGGTGATACCTTTATGAACAACCCCTTCCTGCAGCAGGAGGAGGGGATGGATTTCTCCCAGATTCAGGGGCACCCTGCCAGCATTGCTGCGTGCTCGTGGGTGCTGCTTGAAGCCAGGCTGCTGCACACACCCTTGGCATCACCTTTCCCCACCCGCATGGCTCAGGCTTGTGTCAAGCCCTGGAGGGTAACAGCCCATCCAAGGGCAGCACCCTGGAGGCTGTGGCAGCACCCAAGAGGTTTGTTTGTCGCTGCACATTCACATGCCTGCTTTTAAGCATGTGTAGAGCACGCAACCTGGCACATACTCCTCCTCCCTGTGCGTGCCAATCCCTGCCAGTCCTGTGTGGGCTGTGCACTCACATAGCAGCTATGATAATCTACACCCATTGAGCTCGAATGGGGCGCTTAACCTCTGCTTGGAGGCAATCGAGCAGGTCTTGTGCCATCTTAGGTGGCATGTGGTGAGAGGTTCAGGGTTTGCATGGACGCAGGCTGAGTGCTTGTCACTAGATGGCAATGCCATGAAGTGATTTAGCTGGGATATCTGTATCCCTTAGTTCAGGCTGCACCTGAGGTCCCCCATAACCTGCTGTTTCTGTTTGGTTTGGCCTGGCCTTCAGTGTCATCAGCAAAAGCCGTTGTGCCACTGGCATTTTCGCATTTGAGGGTGATTGAACTTTAAGGTGGCTTTTACATGTTGTATTTGATGCTTTGGCTATATTTACAACACGCTGTATAATCCTGCAACATCCTCTGGCATTCTCTATTATTGCTTGAGTCACTGGATGCTATAATTGTCAAGCTTTCAAAGGTCCTGGATAGATTATCTTTCCATATCTATTTAATGCTCTAAATAATGCAACCAAAGACCCCTGCAGCTCCAGCTGTGAAATGAAAAGGTTGGTTAAACCACTTAATAACTTACTGTGCTAACAATTATTTTACGGAAACAGAAAGTGGAATCCAGCTGTTTTGGGGGAAATTGGGAAGTAGTTAATATTGGAGTCAGTCAACAAGGAAAATAATACTGCAATGGGCAGCGTGTGCTGTGCTGACACCTGCAAAGGCAGAGCAGAACCGCTCTGCTGGGTGCCACCAGCTCACATGGCCAAGGGCTGGTGACCAATCCACGTTCATGCCAACAAAGCAGGACCTGGTGCTTGGATTCCTGCAGCTGCTGAATTGTGTGTGCTGGGTTTGTGGTGAGTCCTGAAAGGCTTCAGGCCATTAAAACCAGGAGGGGTTTGTGGGGTGGCTGAGTTGACAGGGGGAGAGGATAAACCATGGCAGCTGTGTCAGAGCCTAAAGTAGGGTACTGCAGATCTTGGCTCAAGAAGGGGCAAGTGCCACGTGCTGCTTGTGCGTGGCTGTTTGTCCATCGCTCTAAGTTCCTTCTATGTCTTCCATCCACATTTGCAGGCACTTGGGAGCTATCAGGTGAGAGTCAGCCACCCAGTGTGTTTAGAATGAGTTCTGGAGCTGCTCCAGGATCACTTTGGGGTGACCTGGGCAGTTTTCATCATGTCTGGGTTCTGCTCATGGCTCTCAGTATGAAATGTAGGAGCACTCATGCATCGGGGGAAGGTGGTATTAAACGCAGTCATACATACACCATCTTCTGCTTTTACAAAGCCTTGGTGCACAGGCTGGACCAGGGTGGACCCACTTCACCCCAGAGGCAACAGAATGACTATTACAGTGCAGCTTCAGGCCAGATTCACTGTGCTCCCAACCTCCCTACGCTGTCTTTCCAGCCAGGGGAATCTTGCCTTCCGCTCCCTGCCTACAAAGCCGTGTAGTTGATGCATACCCAAAACCTGAGCTGTGAGTAAAAACTGGGACTGCAAATTCCCAGCCCGCTCCTTCCTCTGTTTCATCATGGGACTTCCAAACTGCTCATTGAGCTTTCCAGAAACGAGGAAATGGAAGTTAAATCCTTTCTTGCAAGAAGAGATGCATGCGATATGCATCACCATTGACTGTCGAGGAAGAAACACCAAGTCTGTTGCTACTCGTGCAGTGTTGACTTCAAACAGAGTTTGTTACAAGTCCACATCTTGCATGTGTTAAAACAAGGCGTCCTCCCCTTTCTTATAAGGTAAATGTATAGGGACTTGATGTAAATGCTACTTTGGCAGCCTCTTTTTCTTGCCATCTGTAAAATGTGACACCTCTGTGGGTCTTGGAAAGAAAGCTGAGCGTCTGTGGTTCCAAGCAGAGAAAGAAGGTGATATTTATAGTCACTAACCATAAAGCTGTGACTTCCAGAGCTGCACATGCTCAGGCTGTCCACAGCCCTCAGCTCTCAATGTCCTTCTTTATACGGATTTCAGGAGGAATCGGTCACACTTCATTTTGCCTTCAGTGCTTTACAAACCAGCAATGAGGTGCAATGTGAAGAGAAGCGGGCCTCATACCTGGCCCTGTGCTTACCCAAACAGCTTCTCTCTCACGTTTCGTCCTGTCCTGCCCCTTCCAATCGCCCTGGTTGATAGCTAACCTGCTGCAGCCTGGCCCTGGGTGTGCCTTGAAGGTGCTTCCTGATTGCTCTGACTTGACCTGCTCTATGTGTCAGCAGGTGAAAAGTCCTTTCCTGGGTACTGGCATGGGAAAGAGGATGGGAAAGCGTTAATGAACAAACCAACATCAGGTCTTGCCAATCCCAGGGATAAATGTTTGGTGAGAAAAGGTGAATTTATGGCCTCTGTCTCTTGACAGTGACACCAAAGGGGCCATTTCATTTTCCTGCATAGCCAGCCTGCTTTTGGGGGAACATCACAGGAGTAATGACACCTTCTAGCTACTTCTGTCTTCCATCATCAAAAGGAAGCAAGACCAAAGGCCTGAGACAGTGCTTCAGGCTTCACTTTGCACCATGTTCAGCAGAATCCTTTGCCATGGCCCTTCCCAGGAGCTTTTAAGCTTCCCCCATCTTGTCTGTCTGAGGTTTTAATATTTCCTTAATTCCTGCCTTTGAATCTCCCTTCACTGCTCACCTGCTCTGCCAGACAGCGCCTGGAACTCGGTAATCACACTGCAAAGGCAGTGCAAGCCAGCAGGGTCTGCTCTAAGGCCCAGGCTGGCTGCCTGGTGGCCCTCCTGGGGTATGCAAAGGCAACCCATTTGGCACCCACTCATCAGTAGCAGCACTATGTAGTGGCATGAGCTCCTTCTGAAGGCAGGATTCCCACCACGGATTAGGAACATAAAGCAAGACGCAGAAGCATTTAGGACCTGCTACTTTAGGGTCTTGAGCAATACCCTAATACAGGACTTCCCTCTATGGATACAGTGGAGCAATTCCATTGAAGTCAATCATTTAATCAGGGATTGATTCACACTGCTCTTGTCAGTGGAGCTGTGCAGGACACTGATAAAATAAACCTCTCCTCTCCTGTACACACAGCCTATGGCAGCTGTTTGTGAGGTGCCTCTGTACCTGTGACATCTTATGTCAGAGCTGGTCTTAACTTTGGGCATATTCTCAAGCTCCACCATGTTCTGCTCCTCGATGCAAGAAACACAGGGGTACATGTTCATGTGTCAAAAGAGAGCAAAATCTCAGCATTTCTCTTGGAGCAACACATTGCTGGAGGAGAGAAGGTTTAAAAAACCATAAAGGAGTAATTTCCTATTAAGGAGGTACAATATTTTAATATACATTAAGGAGCTATTCCTGCCTTTTCTTAAAGCCTTTATTGTGATGCAATTCCACTGCACAAAAGTTTCAATGTAAGACTTGCAAAGACAGCCCATAATATCCTTAGTTGTTCTCCTTCACCCTGCTGGCTAAGGCTCCTCTAGTATTTCCTTGAGAGGATGGCAATGTCATTGTGCTGATCAGCCTGAGATTTCACATCTTGTAGGCAATCACCCGACAGCCTTGTCTCGGGCAAGATCTTCTCTTCCCACACTAATAACTGCCTCCCTTTAGCCAGATTACAGTAAATGTCTAAACCAACTTCTCAGCATTGTTCGTGGGAAGCACATGGCTTCCTCTGATAGTGCTCTGAGTGGGTATCACCCATAGCGTCCCTGTGGTCTTTGTTAGAGCTTCATAAAAGCAGGGTATTTTCTTCTCAGGGATTACATAGTTTTGGGACACAGCAATATGGTGCTTTTTGTCTCCCTTCCCCTTTCTGGTGAGCATTTTTGACAACACCCTTCTGCCTGATGGTTCCGCACCTTCCAGAGAGGAAGGAAACTCAAACCCTCATAATACTTAAGTAGATTTGTGGCAGCGTGGTGCTTTGCATAAGATGATGTTACTGAACCAGATGCTACAGAGAGTGAGTGGACAAACAGCAGGTGCTGGAACGTCAATAATGCTGTAGGGGAAGTCCTGGCCAAGAGGAAAGCAAACAGTGCTTCTGCATCATGGGTCGGTGAAATACAGATTGTGTCCAAGGTGCTGCACTACAAACACTGTTAGTTACACATATATGTGAAATATATTGAATGGAAGATCTTGAAAAGAGATCCACTCCACTGGTTTAACCATGTCTGCAGCAGAAGCCATCAGCTTCTGTGAATCAAGTGAAGCAAGAGGCTGCAGATGGATGGGTGAGGGATGTGATGCTTATTTAAGTCCTGCTGAGCCAACAGCACTCTAAAGAGGAGACAACAAGCGTCTCCAAGATGTTAACATTAGTCTGAGTGGCCTGGATGGATGGTTATGGTCAGCCCCAAACGCCATGAGATGCCCTAGCTCCACACAGCCGCTCTGGGCAGCTTTCACTTGGTATGTGGGTACCACCAGTGCCCCCCTGCAAGAGCAGGGGTCTGGTTATCCCAGCAAGTCACACCAAGCAGGGGAAATGCTCTCCTGGGGGCTTGGTCCTTCCACGGGGAGGTCACCATTGCGAAGCAACGCCCGGTTCCAAGGGCGCAGGGACTGCAGCATCCCCGCTCCCCTCCGCACGGGTCCTCGCTTTTCCCGGCTGAGGGGGCGAGGGCAGCGGGGCGGTGGCGCTGGCGCCTCCCGCAGCCGCCGGCGAGGGTGGGACGGGGC